TTGTAGAGAAACGTCTCATTCTGCGAGACAGTCACAAATAATATCTCCTTACCATATCAAATCCTTAAATTTTATATATGCTATTTTTTTAATCTTTTAAAAATTTCTCTTTAACTCTCTTCAAAGACTTTCTTTTATGTCAAAAATTTGTTTCACTTTGCCCCAACTCATATACTCTAAAAATAATAACAATAGCCAAATATATAAAATTAATTTTTAATTCATTAAAATTATATTTATTCAAAGTAAATCCTCATATAAACTTCTATGAACCATCCTCATCTGTTAATTCAATCAAGTATTCTAAGAAATTTGGGCAATTTTCTTCGAATAATTGGCTCTCATATGATAAATCTATTAATTCAATTTTGTCATGCATAAAATCATACTTTCCGAATATGCAATAGCATTTTTCAAGAGCCAACAATAAATCAATTTTAAATCTTAGACTGTTATTATTAAATGATTCAAGTAGTCCTTCCTCCAATAAAAAGTGGTACATTATTTGTTGATCGTTCTGTGAAAATTCGAAATTTAAGATACAATAGCAAATTATCTGAACGAAAAAATTTTTCTTGCTAGAATTGTAATCATTATAATTATCAATAATATTTGAAAAAAGACCGCTATAAAAGATAAAATCTTGATCGAAATGCGTAAAAACAATGAAAAGTATCTGATTGAAGAATTCTGGAACGCTTTGGTCTAGACACCACCATATGTAACGGTTAAGAGAGAACTGTTGATCTTGCATTATAAAGTCTACTAGTGAAATTTCGTTATTCATTAAAGAATACAATAATGTACCTATTTTCTTTTGTTTATTATGTGTTGATTTGTTTTGCCATTGAAAATAACATAGATATGTATCATCGGATTCTAATGCTAAAATTTTAAAGTCGTAATAAATAACAATCCGGGTAAAAACAAGGATATTTTCGTCAAATGCATCTATTTTGTCAACAGGAAATGGTATCTTGGAGACACAATCACCAATATCAATATTTTCAACATCTTGTTTATAAGATTTGATATTCATTAAAATTTGATATAAAAAAGTAAATTGATTGCTCAGAAAATTGAGAAAATTGAGAGTAACCACCAAATAAGATTTTTAAAAATAAAGAACTAAGGGTACAGTATATGAGAAGGAAGTGTTGTATACAGAAATTCATCAAAAGTGACACATCAGAAAAGCTAAAATAGTGAATTTTTGGAACTTTTGATAGAGCACGTTTTTAAATATTAATTAAAGTAAATGTATATTTTGTAAAGATTCTTTTTTGTAATAAACAGAAATTCATCAAAAGTGACAGCTCTCAATTTTTTGACATTTGTAAATTCTAAATTGAATGAGAAAAATGAAATAATACTAAGCATAATACAATATTCTAGATTTAATTATAATTAGGAAAAAGTTAGTTTTGAGAGTACTTTTCATAGGCATATAGAATGAAATCTTCTGAAAAATAATATCACATAAACTCATATTATTTTCTAATATATAACTATTTTATATAAAAATCAAATTCAATGATCTTAAAAGCGAAGGATAAACCTCAAAATTTACGAATATAATGAGTGGGAATATAATGCTTATCTATCATAAAACCATATGAAATATCAATTTTTGCTTTACGCCTAATTTTTGACGACAATTAGCAAAAAATGTTAAATGTTAACACTCAGTCCATTTGAATATGAAAAATAAAATTGACTTTGATTAAATGTTTTTATTTATCATGCAATTCTTCTTGCGACCAAAGATTTGAATAAAACTTCAAAAAATAAGATAGCTTAAAAAAATATACGGTAGTGTTTACTAATAGATGAATAGTATATAAATTCTATTAAAATGGATTTGATCCAAAAAAATATATAAAATTTGATCATAAAAAAATCGTTTTTAATTACTTCTTCATTTAAATTATAACAATTATTTTTTGGTTTTATATTTTTTTGGATCAAATCCATTTTAATAGAATTTATATACTATTCATCTATTAGTAAACACTACCGTATATTATTTTTTAAGCTATCTTATTTTTTGAAGTTTTATTCAAATCTTTGGTCGCAAGAAGAATTGCATGATAAATAAAAACATTTAATCAAAGTCAATTTTATTTTTCATATTCAAATGGACTGAGTGTTAACATTTAACATTTTTTGCTAATTGTCGTCAAAAATTAGGCGTAAAGCAAAAATTGATATTTCATATGGTTTTATGATAGATAAGCATTATATTCCCACTCATTATATTCGTAAATTTTGAGGTTTATCCTTCGCTTTTAAGATCATTGAATTTGATTTTTATATAAAATAGTTATATATTAGAAAATAATATGAGTTTATGTGATATTATTTTTCAGAAGATTTCATTCTATATGCCTATGAAAAGTACTCTCAAAACTAACTTTTTCCTAATTATAATTAAATCTAGAATATTGTATTATGCTTAGTATTATTTCATTTTTCTCATTCAATTTAGAATTTACAAATGTCAAAAAATTGAGAGCTGTCACTTTTGATGAATTTCTGTTTATTACAGGAAGAATCCAAAATTTTATTTTTAAGGTTTTGCAAGAAATATTTTTATTAATAAACGGTAGAATAATAATAGGAATATCGATATTAAAAAAGAAATACATGAAATAAATAAAAATTTGATTCAACTTTGACAAGAATCACAAATGATTCTTCTCAAAGTTGCTCAGTGAACAACAAACACTTGTTATTGTTTATAATTCAAGTGAATGTTGTACACAAAGACAACAATTGTCTATCAATTGTTGTCTTTGATTCAACTTTGACAAGAATCACAAATGATTCTTCTCAAAGTTGCTCAGTGAACAACAAACACTTGTTATTGTTTATAATTCAAGTGAATGTTGTACACAAAGACAACAATTGTCTATCAATTGTTGTCTTTGATTCAACTTTGACAAGAATCACAAATGATTCTTCTCAAAGTTGCTCAGTGAACAACAAACACTTGTTATTGTTTATAATTCAAGTGAATGTTGTACACAAAGACAACAATTGTCTATCAATTGTTGTCTTTGATTCAACTTTGACAAGAATCACAAATGATTCTTCTCAAAGTTGCTCAGTGAACAACAAACACTTGTTATTGTTTATAATTCAAGTGAATGTTGTACACAAAGACAACAATTGTCTATCAATTGTTGTCTTTGATTCAACTTTGACAAGAATCACAAATGATTCTTCTCAAAGTTGCTCACTTCACAACACCCATTAATTCTTTTTGATATTACACATTAAGCTAACCAACCACACCAGTCATTTTATTTATATAGCTTTTATCCGTAACATTTTTAAAGGATTTCAAATAATTTACTTTTTCAAATATTTACTAGTTAATATCTCAATCAATTTATCCTCTTATTTATATTTTTAAAAATTTTCATCTCCATCACCATTCAATTTGGAATCTCATTTTTAAAATATCTTAATATAATCAGAATTTTATTAGTAGGTTAAAATATTTGCGAATATTAATTATTTGGATCAAAGCTTTCATACGATTACATTAATTTTTTTAATCGAAATTCTATTTCATTACTACTCAATTTTAAATCATAGCAGCATTAATAGCTCATCTACTTATATTCCATCATAATGTTATTTTATTCAATTTTTATATATCTGATTTTCATATTTTTTCAAATTCTGTCGCAAAATCTTTAAAATTGTTATATTTCCTTACAACACGGTTAATATAGTATTCTCCTTAACTTGTTTAAATGCAATTTTGCAATATTTGGAAATGATCAAAATATCCTAATGTAAACGTTTGCTCTTAGAATTCAGTGTCATAGTCGATTGTTTCTAACAAATTAATCTTTTTTGCATTGATTTTCGAAGTATTGCATTTTCATTACGGCCAAATCTGCTCTCTTTCATTAGATTGATAGCTCACAATAGTTCTTGTAATCAGAGAGGAAATATCTTACGAAATATACCTCTAAATTTTCACTTTATAGATAAATGTTATATTTTTCCGTTACTCGATTATTGTCCAATAAAACCACAATCATATTAAACTTCGTCCAAAATAAACAATAAAGAATAGTTTTTAAGTTTCTTAAACGGTTTATGAAGGTTCATATTTAATCGATTTTTTTATTTTCAATTCATGTATCTATAGTTCGTTAGTCTATCATCCCTTCATAAATTATCTGCAAAGAATTTTGTAGAATCTCAACTCTGTGAGGAACTACAATAAATTGAAAAGTCATTTTGTGATATCAAAATCCAATATATTATTCTTTCTAATACATATTAATAATATCTTGAGATGTAGTACACTATATATATACTTTCAAAAATCTTATATGTTTATTAGTTATTGAGATAGAAGCGATTTAATTCTTTGAAAATCGACGAAAAGTGCCATATTCATAAAATTATAGGGTATATATTTTATTTGCTTCTTCTTTTTTTGGTATTTTTTTTTAAACATGACTTTTAAAAAATTCATATTTAATACATTAATCTTTTTTTAAAAGAAATATATACATATATGAATCAATCAACTTGTGGTTAAGGATTTTCCCCTGAGAGTTCCATGATTTCCATTACTTTAGGCACTGATTATTCTCATTAGTTACAAAATTTTAAAAATCACTTGTCACCTTAAGAATTCCAAAATTTGATCATTTTATAGAAGCATGCTTATGAGGATGTAACGATATTTAATAAAAATTTGGATAAAAATATTTGATTATAATCAGATTTGACTTTCTGGAATTAAGAGATCGTATGTATATATAATGGAGATGAAAATTCAGATCATTATACTCTGTTTGATCAGTATTCAATGATAATTCTCAATTTCATCATATATAATGAAGAGATTCCAATAAAATAAGGCTTTTGTGTTTTAACAAGGCTTTTAAATGATGATCTGGTTTTACATTAATTTTCAAAAGATTTATTATTTTATCCGTTAGAAAATAGGATTTTGCAGCTAAATTAGTATGACAGGAGCTGCTAAGAGATCAGGAGTTAGAACTCCTAGATCAGCTAGAGAAATAATAAATCAAGTAAATAAGCAAAACAAACGAAATCCAAATAATATTATTATCCAGACAGACGCTTTGCATTTAAATATCGATAAAAGTAAACATTATAATAAAAAGTCGAAAGTATTACTTTCTCCTCTACAACTTTCACCTCCTGCACAATTTTCTTCCCCATTTCGAAATGATGTTAATGAAAAGAACGATTTTAATGAAGTAATAATTACAAATGAGCAAGTAGTTGAGCCACCAAAAGAAATTCCAGAAAAGACACAAAAATCAAACGAATCCAAAAAATCTTCAATTGATTTTCATTTTACTCAAGAAATCATTCAAGAATTCGATAAATATCAGCTCAATTTCCTATCACAACTTTCTAATATGCAAAGCAATTTAAATCTGGAATTTCTTAAAATTTCAAGGCGTTTGGATAAAATAGAAGGCTCTTTAACTAAATAATTAACTAGTAATTTTTGTATTTAAACGAAATCAATTAGATTTCATTTTATCAGATATAATTTAATTTTTTTTTATTTTTATTATTTCGTTTTATCAAATATATTATAGCTATTCTAGCTATTCTGTTAGATATAAACATGCTTCTTTTACAGAGACTTACTTTCTTTTATTATATGATACTTATATTTTGTTTAAAAGATCTCGAATTCGATCATAACCTCTTCTCTTAGCAATATCTAATGGAGTATCATAGCTATTATTTCTTATATTAACATTAATATTAGGTTGATAACATAGATATTCGCATAAATCATAATAACAATTCAATGTTGCCAAATGAAGAAGAGTATTCCCATCAATATCTTTCTGATTTAAATCATAATTATACCTCATAAAGTATTTAATGGCTTCAAGATTACCTTTTTCTGCAAATAAATGAACTAATGTTCTATGTTTATTAGTTAAAAGAAATGCATCCTGCCCACATTCAATAAAATCTTTAGTTAATTGAAAATCTCCCCGACTTGGTGATGTTAAATAAACGCTCAAATTTTCCATTTTTGGTTCAACAGTAGATGATACTTTTTGAGAATAATAAAAGATTGTTGCCATATCTCTTTCATTAGAAGAAGTTTTAATTAAGTCATAAACTTCGTTGAATTTTGATCCAACTAAATTCATATTATTGATTTTCTTTATTTTTGGTAAATATTCACCAATTTTTTCAATAAATATTTTGCCTTCTTCATTTTCTAATCTTAGTTTTGTGATTTCTTCTGACTTTGAATCATTATTTCTTTTTAATGCATCTATTTCATCTTTTGAAGAAACACATTCTCTTCTCATTTTTGTTAACTCATCATTCTGATTTGAAATATCTTGTTTAAGTTTTGCGTTTTCATTACGTAATTTTGTCAATTCGTCTTTAGTTGTTGTAAGTTCACACTCTAATTGTTTAATTCTGAAATCTTTTTCTTTACTTTTATCTAGAATTGTTTTGAAAATTGATATGATTGATGATTTTCCTTCATTAGTTGATAAGTTTTTGAGTGAATCTATTGCATATCTGATTTCAGTATAGTCATCATTTAGATATGATATGATTTCGATGAATATAGGATTTTTATTGATTAAAGAGAATATGATATCATTTGTGTTTAAATTTCTATTTTTCATATGAATGATCAATTGTTCTGCAAAATCTAATCCAGCTTCAGCGATAGAATCAATAAGATCATTATGATTTATTGAATCTATATTATCACATATAAATCGAATATTTTTTCAGTGTAACCAATATAGTTGCAGTATTTGATTTTTATGAGTATATCATCAGTGGTGTATGTATCGTTGCCATATCTATTAATAAAGAATGACATTAATGACTTGCTTTTCATTTCTTCTCCTAGTTTTAAAAAGTCAATTGCAATTTTATCTCCTATGTTCTCTGGAATTTGCAGTTTCAATATCTTTTCAAATATTTTATATGTATTTGTGTCACTTATGTTTATATTGAATCGAAATTCTTTAGTTGATCGATTTAAATAAAAATCATTTCGCAATTTATCGCTAATTGCCAAACCAATAAAAAGATTTGTATCATAGGCATGATCGTTGATGTATATCTTAATAGAATGATTATCGAAAATTTGTAATGATTCATATACTCTACCTATAATATCGCACATTGGAAAAGTGTGGTATTTTATCTTCACTTCACTTCATTTACATATTTTTGCCAACATAAGTAGAAATAATTTGCAAGCACGGATATTTTGATATGATGAATAAAATATTAAGTCGCGGCGGATCGATAAATGCTCAAACAATAAAAGCCTATTCCCCAATTGAATTAGCAAGTTGGTTGGACAATTATGTCATGGAGCTGACATTCAGCTTAAAGATAAGTATAATAACACAGCTTTCCATCGTGCTTGCCAAGTTGCTTGCAATCCTATAATTAAGTTTTTATTATCTAAAGGTGCAAATCCTCATGAACCAAATGATGAACACCTTCCAATTCAAACAGCATGCACCAATGGTGATGTTGAAACTCTTTATGATTTATTTAGATATAACGTCGATATTAATGCAGTGTTCAAAGGAAATTCAGTCTGTGTTGAGTAAAATCTTTTGTAAACTAAACATCTCAAATATCCAAAGATTCCATTTTTGAGAATGATAAAAGAGTGTTGCTATATATCTTTATTCTGAAGCAATTTTAATTAAATCATAAAGTTCTAGGAACCTTATTCTATATATAATTACAGTTTGGTAGCGATTTGCCACTCTTTTTCAACAAGTTATTTGCTTTTTTCACTTTCTAATCTTAATTTTGAAATTTCATCTGATTTTGTATTATTATATCTTTATCTATTTGAAGGAATTTATTAACTTCTTATTCTCGTTAAAATGGATCAAAGAAATGTGTGTTTCCTTTTTATAAATGGTATTTCAATTGTTAATATATTATGCTCAGTATTTTCTGTTGTGGAATTTCTCAATCACCCTTATAGTGGGAATGGTGTTTGCGGTGTTTGCGGTGTTTGTGCCTGTGTTCCTTGACAGGCATTGAGTCGAATTCCTCTTTCTTCTCTTCATCAGATGATGAAGATGATGAGGGAGTATCATAATCAGAAGAGTTCTTGTTATTCTCCTCCTGCTTTGGTTCTTGTTTAAGTTTTGCGTTTTCATTACGTAATTTTGTCAATTCGTCTTTAGTTGTTGTAAGTTCACACTCTAATTGTTTAATTCTGAAATCTTTTTCTTTACTTTTATCTAGAATTGTTTTGAAAATTGATATGATTGATGATTTTCCTTCATTAGTTGATAAGTTTTTGAGTGAATCTATTGCATATCTGATTTCAGTATAGTCATCATTTAGATATGATATGATTTCGATGAATATAGGATTTTTATTGATTAAAGAGAATATGATATCATTTGTGTTTAAATTTCTATTTTTCATATGAATGATCAATTGTTCTGCAAAATCTAATCCAGCTTCAGCGATAGAATCAATAAGATCATTATGATTTATTGAATCTATATTATCACATATAAAATCGAATATTTTTTCAGTGTAACCAATATAGTTGCAGTATTTGATTTTTATGAGTATATCATCAGTGGTGTATGTATCGTTGCCATATCTATTAATAAAGAATGACATTAATGACTTGCTTTTCATTTCTTCTCCTAGTTTTAAAAAGTCAATTGCAATTTTATCTCCTATGTTCTCTGGAATTTGCAGTTTCAATATCTTTTCAAATATTTTATATGTATTTGTGTCACTTATGTTTATATTGAATCGAAATTCTTTAGTTGATCGATTTAAATAAAAATCATTTCGCAATTTATCGCTAATTGCCAAACCAATAAAAAGATTTGTATCATAGGCATGATCGTTGATGTATATCGTGATGGAATGATTGTCGAACATTTGCAATGATTCATAAACTCGATTCATGATATCGCTCATTGGAAAAAGTTTTTTTTTTTACATTTCGACTTTTTTTCCATCTTTGAATTATGATTTTCTTTGAAGTAATTGTATGCCAAACATGAATAAAGTGAATTTCACAAGGCTACTCATTAAAATAAATAATATTTTTTTATTGATCGAAATTTATAACATAATAACAATATTATTCTCTTAATTTTTTCAATTACGATATTTTACAAAACAATAATGAATTCGTGAAGTAAATTCTAATTTGAATTGATTGTTAATCTTCAAACATGTTTATAAAAGAATCAGAGGTATGATTCAAATGCTATAAAAGCTAAAATATCAAAACAGTCATTCATAAATGCTTACTGGAATTGATCTAATAATTCATTGTTGCAAAAATGATAATGTAAAAATACTTAACAGAGAGCTAATGAAGGGTCCTCAGCCAAAATCAGGAATTCCTGATATATCACTTGTTGATTTTCATTCCCAAACGTTTAGTTTAATTCACATTTGTGCTTCTTATGGAAGTTTAAGGTGTTTGAAATACCTTTATGATAAAGGTGTAGACACAAACTTGCCAAATAACAATAATTGGATGCCCATTCACTTTGCAGCTAACCACGGTTATTTTGATATGATGAATGAAATATTAAGTCGCGGCAGATCGATAAATGCTCAAACAATAGAAGGATATTCCCCAATTGAATTAGCAAGTTGGTTTGGACACTTTGAAATTGTTCAAATTTTATATGATCATGGAGCTGACATCCAGCTTAAAGATAAGTATAATAACACAGCTTTCCATCGTGCTTGCCAAGTTGCTTGCAATCCTATAATTAAGTTTTTATTATCTAAAGGTGCAAATCCTCATGAACCAAATGATGAACACCTTCCAATTCAAACAGCATGCACCAATGGTGATGTTGAAACTCTTTATGATTTATTTAGATATAACGTCGATATTAATGCAGTGTTCAAAGGAAATTCAGCAATGCATATTGCAATCCTTAACTTTAGAATTGATTTTTTGACTATTTTACTTAAACAAGGCGCTGATACAGAAATTAGAGATAGTAAAGGCAATACGCCTCTTCATCTTGCTGCTTGGCTATCACAAGATAAAGCTGTAAAGCTACTACTAGCGTTTGGAGCTACCGTTGATCCCAAAAACAACTTTAAAGAAACTCCTTTGCAAAAAGCTTGCGAAAACGGTTCAGCTGTAGTATTTCAAATTCTTTTTGAATATGGTGCTGATCCGAACTCACAAGACAAAGTTAAAAGAACACCATTAGACTAGGCCAAGTTACAAGGTCATGACAAAGTAATTGACATATATAATAAGCTAACACAAGTTAACGGACCTCCAGAAGAAATCACACTCAAAGAAATAATATTACCCGAAGAAAATGCTAACGAAGGTGAGAAATTTCAAAATTATATAAAATATGACTCAAAAAAATTTCATTATCAAAAGGTAATAATATCTAATTCATGACATACACGACTTAGAACAATCGTTACATACTTCCAAATCTTACAACGGTAGAGATCGTATTTCCGGATATAGAAATGTGACTTAATAATTCAAATTTATATGTATATTACAATACGACTTAATTGACATTTTACAAATACACTATCGAAATCATCCAAATCCGAAAAAAATATGGAAAAACTCTTAAAATGAGAGTAATATTTGAATGCCTGAACACACCATTCCACCAGAAATAATGAGCTTTTAACATTCAGTTTATCCCCTGTAGTGAAAAGAGTTTCCATATTGATGGTGACTCTGGATGAGCAGGGTTAAATAAGGTATGGTCGAACAAACCGCTACTTTTTTTTATTATTCACAAAAATTGTTACGCTCGACATAAAAAATTGTTGTAAACATTTAGAAAATATTAAACTTAGAATACCCATTTCGTCATTATTAATAAGGGTTTCGTTTTGCTAAAATTGTCACTTTTATAGCATATTTGTTTTTGGATGTTTTGCGAAACCAAAAAAAAACTATGATATACAATGTGTGTGTAAAGAAAATACTTTATTTACTAGTTAAAAAATCATTTGGTATTGATCAAGTTATTTTTTCTGGATAAGATATTATATGGATAATTGGATAGAAAATACAATTATATAATCTTGTACCTGGTTTAATTAAGCTAATTGTCATCAGAAACTTGTAATTTTTATGAATTTCAGATTTTCTTTTCATTACTGCTTTTCTTAATAGGTCAAGTTCTTATTTACGTTATAAAGTATGATATTTGCAAATATCAAGTTATCATGTTTTTTGAGAAATTATGAGAAACAAACAAAAATGAAAAAGATAGGAATAGCAATGAATATTGATGTGGGTATAGAAAATGTAAGAGATATGAATGCAAAGCAATCAGTATTTAGGATATTGACCATAGATTTCGAAAAAAAAATGCTGCATATTGAGCGAAAACTATGATTATATTATAAGGCTGTCATTTAAAGCATAATGAAACTATTCCCTTTTCATTTTAATCGAATAAGATAGTAAAGATTTTTGAATTAGCTAGAAACTGATGAGATGTTTTCACAAATCAGATTTTTAATCTCTATAATGCATAATTCACTCAATATCTCAATTTTGATATTGCGAATATTTTTGCTATCGGTTTCGCAATTTTGACACAATAGCAAGAGGTTCTATAAGCATTATTATCAACGTAGAATCTGAATATCATATCAGAAAATGTCGCAAATCTGACATTTACCCGACCAAATAGCAAAAATAATTGAATACTTTCGCAAAAACTTTAAAAATCGATAAAAATATGAAATATAGATATTAAAGAGACTTTTTATATAATATTCATAAAGATTTTCCAAAAATATGATACCGCAAAATTAAAAAAGTGACGTCTTGAGTGGAGTCAAAGGTCGAAATTGCTAGCTAAATGTTTTTTTAGCGAAATTGCGTATTGTACGTTTTTTTCGCAAAACGAAACCCTTATTATTAAGAATAATTAGTTAAAACTGTGAATAACCAAGCTCTCAAAATTCATATTGAGCACATTGTCACGTTTTTGCGATAAAAATAATGAACTCAGATGAAGAATATGATCCCGAGCAGCAGGTAGACGAAGGTCGCTTGCAAGAGCTTGAAGACAAAGTTGCCGTGCTCACAAAGGAGAATGAAGTCTTAAAAGCACAGTTCAATCAAGCAATAACCCTTAGTGACACTTTGAAGGCAGTTACAGCCAAGAGCGAAGATCAGCAGCAAAAGATTAGATCTCTTTCACTCGAGAACGAAGATTTGAACCACAGGATTGAGATCTTATCGAAGCAGCTTGAAGAATCTAACCAAAAGCTTGCTGATCAGCGTAAGGCTCACGATGAGCAACGCCAAATCGATCAGAAAGATCTTAACGGAGAAATTGATCGCGTTAAGTCAGAATTAAACCAAACAATAGAAAAACTTTCCAAAGACTTAGACGACGCCGTCAGCGACAAAGATTCTCTTGAATCCGAAATTAAATTACTCAAGACTAAGAACCAGAACGTCATTTCTGCCGCAAATTACAGTTTCTCAGAAGATTTCTCTTCAATCGAAGATGTTATCACATATTTAGAAGAGAGGAAGGATAGTGACGCCAAAGCTGGCTCGCCAAAGAAAGCAGAAGGCTCTCCAAAGAAATCTCCAACAAAGACTCCAATTTCGCAACCAGCTCCAGACGTCGCTAACATGAAGAACAAGTTGCGATCCCTTAGCAACAAAAACAAGCAGCTTATGGACACATGCGTTTCTCTTGAGGAGCAATTGAACATTGCTCAGCGTAAACTCAAGGAACAAGAGTCCAAGTACACAATCCAAATCAAGCAATACGAGCAGAAGCTCAAAGCGACACAAGAAGAAGCTTCACAGCAACAACAAGATCAGAAACAAACAATTACAACACTTGAGAACAAGATCGATGCTCTCAAATCAGACATTGCCAATACACGATCCGCTCTTCACGAATCTACAGTCATAAATATCCCTAACGAGGGCTCAATTTTGAATTCTCCGAAACCAACGAATACTACACCAAAGAGGACACCAGTTACCTCCAGAAGTGTTACCATAGCCCAACCAGAACCATCTACGACCTCCAGAGTTTCACAACGTACAGCCGCCGATCAAGAATTAGATCATCTCAACACCCGTAACTCCGAATTGACCGCAGAGCTTCAGCTTGTCAATGCCAAGAAGGATGATCTCCAGAAGAAGCTCGCAGAAGCTTCACAAGCCCGCCAACAATTAGAATTAAATGTTTCTAAACAAAAAGTGACATTTGATGCATTGACCACTGTTCATTCCGAAACAGTGCTTGAATTAGAGACAGTTAGGAAGACATTATCTAATTTGAGTCCACTGAAAGAGAATCCAGAGAAAACACAGAAGAAAGAGCAAGACCAATTCAAGAAGAAAATTAATTTACTTGAACAAACAATTTCCGAACAAAAGAAGCAGATCTCAGCAGCAATCAACGAGGCAATATCAACTAAAGGTGAACTCGCGAGATTGTCCGCCCACGCAAATCATTTAGAGTCAGAACTCTCGAGATGTGACAAACAGATCAGAAAATTGACAGCGGATTTGACAGAAGCAGAACACAGATACGAAACGAAACCAACTGTCACGGAAGACGACATTTTACCATCATCAGCATGGAGATTCTCCGGATTCGATACAGAACTCAGTGACCAAGTTGCAGCAATCGGAAACAACGAAGCTCTCCAGACATCATCGAAATTAAGAAACGCGTTCAAAGCAATCGCTGATTACTACAATAAGAATGTTGATGAAAGCGATGCAGCAGCATTTGAAGCAAACGAAACACTCGCAAACTTCAAATCAATATTGAACACGTTCATCGTTGATTTGACAATTGCTTATTCCGGTGACGCGAAGAACATCGATTTCTTCATTTCTGACAGCGGAAAAACAATTGTAAAAGAAGTGACAGATCTCAAGAAATCATTCGATGAAATGAGAAGAAAGAACAACCAGTACGAACAGACGAATAACCTGTTCAAAGAAATGTTTGGAGATGATGAAGATCTCACTGAAACATTCCAGAATTTGAAACAAACATTGGAACAAAGAGCAAACAATTTGGAGTCAAGAAACAGAAGAGTTAAAGACTTGAAACAACAACTAGAAGTATTACAGAAGAAATACCAAACAGAGAAATCTGATTTACAAGCAGATCTCGATGAGAAATCCGCCAAACTCGAAGAAATTTCTGCAAATTTAGTTCAGGCGACATCAGAAATTTCATCATTGAAGAGAAGGAACCAAGAATTGACACAGCTCTTGAGAGAAGCACGCAAAAACAACGACAACTTGCAGTCAACAATGATGGCTGAACAGGAGAACGCAGCACAATCAACAGCAGACGAAATAACTCGCTTGGATCAGTCATTGCGCGCTGAAATAAGACAAGCAGAAGAACGTCTTAACATGACAGAAAGTGAGTTAGAAGATGCAGCACAAGAAATCGAGAGATTGAAACAAGTCATCAATTCCCAGAAAGAAACACTTCTCGAGAAGGAAGCAAAGAACAAGGATGAAAGAAACAACATGGAAGAAGAATTGGCAAATGAAAAGAAACATCATGAAGAAGAGAAAGCAGAGATAATTGATAACTATGAAAAAGCAATTGAATCACTTAAAGAAAACTCTGAAAATCAGCGTCAAACAATCGAAAAACTTACAAATGAAATCAAGACATTTGACGCGAAAATCAAGGAGTTACAGAAACAGCTTTCTAAGCTTAAACGCAAGAAGAAGACATTGATTGAAGAAGTTCGAATTACAAAGGAAGAATGCGACAGAGAATTGAAGTTATCTGAGTCAAGACATATCTCTGAAATGATGAAGATTGAAACAGATTGCAACGCAAGAATTTCTAAACAACAGGAACAGAGTGATAATGAGAAGAACCATCTCATCATTTTCGCTGCAAATGAACTCAAATCTTATGCAAATACTAATGAATCTGCACTCTCTGAAAGATCTTACAAACAGTTGATTTCTAAGGCTAAAAGTGAGTTAGACAGATTGTCAAAGATTGACAACGCAATCAGGAAAATGACAAAGGCATCAGATCGCCAAACAACTGAAGATTCTGTTGCTCAATTACTTCTTTCTAAATAAATCGATTTTTTTATCTTTTTTATTAAAAATTTTAAAATTTTTTTCCGACTTTTTGTCAGAGACAAAATGCAACCCCAAAAATATCGGAAAAGTGTAATATGCAATAGAATTTTTTAATTTTTCCTACAAGAGCATATATATTTAGAATATAAAGCTCCTGATATGAATGCCAGCACGTGGCATTTGGCATCTATTTATCTACAACGTGGCAAAGAATTCGTATTCTTACACGTTGAGAGCCACTTTGATCGTTTTTTTTTTGTGCTTGATCGCAAAAAACAAAATATTTGCCTATCAATGAGAATATAAACTTCTTTTGTAAGTATTGTAGACTATTCAAAATTTCCCAATTGGACAACTTTTTTTAAATAATACCCAAGACCCTCAAGAAAATGTGAGACCCAAAAAAATTATGCCACGTTAAAATTATCTACAAATTAGCTTTTAAAAATGATTGGATTTGTGTTGCTTAACAACTTTCATCAGATAATCATCAATCATTTGCTCCCAACGATGTCATTTATGTCTTTTGGCAAAATTAGGGAACAGGACAAATTTGCCACACGGCACTTTTTTTAAAAAAATTTAATGGAGCGGAGCGATACTCTGCTGCAGGAGCCCCAAGGCTCCCATTCATTACGAAAGGGAGCCTCAGGGCTCCTGAGAATCCATCAGCAGAGGCCTTTTCATTTGGCCTCTGCTGATCAAAGATTCGGCGAAGCCATTCTTCGTCTCAGGAGCCCCAAGGCTCCCAATCATTACGAAAGGGAGCCTCAGTGCTCCTGAGAAACCTCTTTGAGAAGGTTTTCTTAAAGAAAACCTTCTCAAAGATGATTGTCAGCATTCACTCAAAATCTACCAAGAGTTTCAAAGTTTCAAATCTATCTGAAATGAAGCTTTGAATCTCTTGTATATCTAATTGTAGAGGTACCTTTTCAAAATGTCTTCTATTGATTAAATTTAATCAGTAAAAGTCATTTTGAAAAGGTACATCTCTATAATTGCTATTGAGCATTCACTCTTGGAACCTTGGAGCTCTTGTGTAGTGCATGAAAACTCCAAGATTCTAGCATAAAACATATATCATAGACATAATTTCTTCAAATATAATTTAAGGTTATTTTAAAAATTAGAAAAGCGTAATTTAAGGTTATTGAAAAAGTGACACCTGGCAAATTTGTCCCGCACTCGCAAAATTATAAAAAATACATTTTCTATGATTGAAAATTTTTTGAGTCCTGAAAGAGTACTTATTTACATATTCTCCATTGCTATGATTTATTATGAATTATGTTACGCTTGAATAAAATATATAAATAAGTTACTTAAGGATACCCTTACGTGTCAGATTTTTTGCGCATACGAAGAAGTCATGCTAGACATGAGCTATAAACCTGAAATTTTAGCAACATATTTAAAACTTTTTAAACTACAATACACTTTAATATTCAAGAACAAAAATATTCTTTTTAGAAATTACATAATTATTTTATGTGAAATCTATATAAAAACATATTTTGCGAGCGTAACTTTTTTCTTTATAAGCACCTTATATGACTGATAAACTGTGAAGGCACATAATTGTTAATTCATAGAGTTGATATGTTTCCAAAATTGAGAGGAAATTTGAAAATTGAATACCCTTTCAATTCAATTTTCAAAAGATATCAGCTCCTTCAATAATTGAAGGACGATTTTGATCATTTGCTCTTAAAACAAGCATGCCATGGAAAAAAAAGTTACGCTCGCAAATCTGAAATATAACTATCATATAAAAAAATTAAATTTCTAATTTTTTACTCTATAGATATTATTGGCCACTTGTGTAATGCATAAAAGTTTATGTCATATGCATACATTTGGAAGTATGGGAGACGAGGGAAATTACTTCTATGAGGCACTAGGATTTTTAAAAATTTCTCTATCGGACTCACCATTCAATTTCTCGAAAATTAAAAAAAATCAATAATAGCTAAAATGTATTATGCATAATAAATTTTAATGTTACACGGTATTTTTTGAACTTCATGACATGAATTTTCTTTATATTATTTTTTTTTTTGGATTTTCTATGATTTATGCGATAGGCTGGAACAACATTGTAAGTGCAATGATATCATTTATAGAGAAATCTAAAACTTCAGCATTCAGAACTCGCAACCACAAAAATATTCATTTGCTAAGTAAGTAAAGTTGATTAAGTTCGACACTTAGCTTTTATACGTAAAACCAAGTGTGTATTGTTATTTCTTGTTAAATTATTGAGAAAAAAATAAATTGTAAGAGAAACGATACTGATTATTGAAATAATATTGAGGGTAGCTGCAGATTTCTTCATTAACATGCCGGAAATTTGTTAATCTTGGTTTTCTATCATAAAATCTGTCGAAGAATCTAAAAACGGAGATATGAAATAGAGATCATGTAAATCTAGAGTATCCTGTCAGAAAAATAGACTAAGCATGTAACCCTTTTTGGTCATAAACACTTTTTACCACTTAGTCATACAGATGATCATTAAATTTAAACGAGCACTTTTTGTCAGAATTTATTCTTTTACAAAGACAGAAGATTTTAGTATTATTTAATATTAGTGCTGTAGCAAAATTCAAAAAACGGTGAAAATTCAGTGAATTTGTGAATTCACATTTTTTTTCGACATTTTTCTTGATATATCCATGCACATTAAGAACACAGCTTTGATACGCTTAAAAAAGCATATTTCATATGAAATTGTTAAAGAAATAAACAATTTATATAAAAATTGCACTTATGGGCAGTTTAGATATATAATTTATATATAACATATATACAAATCCATAGACAAAGTGCAATAACTACAATGTTGTAGAAAATTACAGCAGAAATACTGACTTTTTGAAGGATAATAAGAATTCTTCTAAATGTTGTATTTTTATAATTTGATTGATTTTTTTACTATTTCATTAATCTTTTATGAATAATAATTATTTTTAATATATGTGCTATTAAAATTTCAAATTTTGACTAATATATCTAAGTTATCTGAACGAAACATTTAGAAAATATCATACTTACATTGAAATAGCAAGTAGAGCATATTAATAGCAAGTTTCTTGGCTTTATATCTATCATCTATTGTTGTTTGATCAAACAAAATTCACTCTATTATATGGTGTCAATTAATTAAAACAATTTTTAATAGTTATTTATTTAGTGCGAATAAGTGCAAACTCATAAATGAATAACTTAATAGTAGAAATGAATTATCTGATATAAATCTCACATTTTGTCCATCAGAAATACTTTAATTGCATACGCATAACTATTAGTAATACGTCTGGAGTGTCAATTAATAACAATCCCACAACAAGTAAAATTCAGATTTTTATTAAACTTATTTTTTCCTAAAAGTTTTCTCAAATTACTATATATACATATGTGGATAAAATAATAGTAATATTGTAAAAAATTAGATAATTTTTTTTATTTGAGAACCTCTCAAAAGTTCATTCAATTTATCAATTGTTTCAGTTTGATGTATATTCATTTCTGGAGCCTAAAACTTTAGCAATCATGACAATATCATATTCTCTTTCTAACTACGCAATGTAAGGGTATCCTTAAAGATACATTTAATTCGATCAATATTGAAGAAGATCCAACAACAGTCCCAGATGGTCAATTGGTAGTATATAATACAGACAAAATCAAATACCAGGCAATAACTGATCCAAAGTTTGATATTCCAATTTATTGTGGTTTCTTATCAAGGAAACAAATTTATGACGACGATAGTGATGATGTCATCATTGATGAAGTTCAATTTCTTTCTCGTGAAATTGAAGCAGGACCTTTCACACTTTCAGGATTATCATATCATGGAAATACCTTTACACTCACGAAAAATTCTTCTCCAGGCCTATATATAGAATTTTGGAGACCAAAAAGCGTGACAGTTATTGGCCAAAAGTTAGGCGATAAAATTATTCCTTATACAAAGTTCGGGTTAAAATCGGAGCAGCAATAGAAGGACGGGCTGATTCAAATAAAATTTATTCAATATTTCGCCAATCAGATTTCTTATTATCTTGTTGTATTTGGTTTTGTAGGATTTTTACGTTGTTCGGCATTTTAATAACTCTTGATTCTGGAGGAATCAAATGTTGCACACCATACTTTGTAACACTTGCAGGATTCTTACTTATTCAGATATTTTATAATAAAGGAACCTTTATGAGCGACTCTAACTGGGTTTTGTTCTTGTATTCAACATTAATTTCCTTGCCAAGCTTCTTTACTTCGCATCTGTTTCCTTCTGATACATACAGTGTTGAAACTTTACTGTGGTGGCATCTCGGAATTGCTTTTGTACTATTCGCATGCTTATGCTGGAAAATTGTTAAATTGCTGTTTCACTGTGTTGTCGGGGGCTTTCGTTGGCTGAAACGAGCGAAAAGATACAAATTTTTCCGATTTTTTAGGCTGTTTCACTTTTATACGTTACCAATGAGGAAATAGTTTTTCATTTTTATACTACTATATGTTTTATTACTTCATAAATTGTATATTTTCTTATTAAAACCTAATTTTTCCCATGTGATTCGGAATCTATGCATTCCAAAAATGCGTTTTCCGCTCTCAGAACGTGAAAATATGCACCATATGAGGAGATAAAGAGATTTCTTATGTTTCTATTTTGATCAAAACTCGAAAACAAGCAGACATTCTAATAGAGTACATAAAATAACATACATCTGTAATATTGGAATTTTTGATAAATCTTCAAAAAAATAACGGTTCTAAAATTTCGAAATCAAAAAGCACATTTTTAGCGAAAAAAATGCATATCGCCGAATTCTCAAATAGGCAATTAGTTAAACCAAAAAAGTAAGTATTTTGAAGATTTTGAAAATTTGTAATATATCTACTTGTAATGCTACACGCATAAATGAATAAGATATTCATAATATCATACAAAAACTCTACATGATACTATAATATAACAGTATTTAATCCTAAATTCATGAATATAATTTTCTATTTCCATAAAAATAAATAATAATACATATTTATATTTAAAATATGCACACATTTATATAGTATAAATGTGTTATTTATTTCTTTATATAGCTCAGTTTCGAAAAAAAATAATCGGTATTTTTTTTTCCCCAACTCAAAAATCATCCAAAAAAGTTAGGGCATGAAAGATTCTTTCTACTATTTAGTTACACTTGCACCATGCGCTATAAGAAAATCGGCTACTACTTTACTGTTGTTTTCTATTGCGTAGTCAAGAGGACTTTTCCCATGATGATCTCTAGCATCAATATCAGCACCATGCATAAGAAGTAGTTCAACTGCTTCTTTGCTATTAGTCCAGGATGTCCAATGGAGAGAACTCCCTCCTCTATACTCTTTTGCATTTACATCTGCCCCATGTAATAGAAGAGTTTCTGCAGTTTCAATGCAATTATTATTTGATGCAATAATTAGAGATGTCCACCCATTAGAATTTTGCTCATTGACATTTGCACCATGTGAAATAAGAAATTCTGCAATATTTTTAAGGTCATTCATTGCTGCAACTTGCAGTGCTGTTTTCCACATTTCGTCTTTTGCATTGACACTTGCACCATGAGAAAGTAAGTATTCGCAGACTGAAGGAATTCTGAAAAGAGGAGAATACACAAAACAACTGTTGATATCTTTTGTTTGATCTAAATATACTAAAAATGATTGAAGATTATTGTAAGTTCCACATGAAGTTAAGTCAATCCTTAAATTATACTCGTTCATAAGAAATGAAACAAAATCAATGTTGTGTGATATAACTGCAAAAACCATGCAAACAAAATTAGGTCTTTGAAATTTCAAACATTCGCTCATAATCTCTTGGTTTCCACTCAAAAATGAATACCATAGACATTTTTCAGTGATCTGCGAGTGAAATTTTGTTCTTAAAAATTTAAAACAATCAACAGAGCCATGATAACAACATAGTTCAAGATATGAATCGCCTTGAAATTTTGGATAAAAATCACTTAATAGCTTTTGATCTTTGTCAAATTCTTCTTGTTCTGCTATCGATATAAGCAATTTTAGGTCATCATCCATTATTGCTCTGTATGATGTATTTAATTCGTGAACTTCTAATGAATAATTTTTAATTTCATATTCTTTGCAGGCAATTTTATTAGTTTCATCAAAAATGATCCCATACTCTTTATAAACAAAGTAATCAAAAAGAGGAGAGATGTTTTTGATCCGTTTTGGATGATATTTTTCATATATCTTTTTGAAAAGTATCCAATATGACTTTATGTAGCGGTTATTGTATATTGATATAGATGATATTATCTTTATGATATCAGATGGAGAAAAATAATTAGTTTCGATCAACTGTGTTTTGATATCTTTGTAAACTTTTTCGATTTCGCCTTCATTGAAAGTATTTAGTCTGTATAATTCATTAAATGTATTATCGTAATCATTATATAGACTAAAAAGCACTTGATAGCTAAATTTATCTAACTCCATAAAATTTTATGGCACTTTTTTTGGTCGAAATATATATCGAAGCAATAACATTTTTTAAACATCATTGAACGATATTGGAGCTCCATGTGAGATAAGTAATTCTACAATATCGTTCAATTTGTTATTTACTGCAAAATTGAAAGGAGTTTCATCATCCATTTTGGCATTAATATCAGCACCATGTGAAATAAGTATATTTGACATGTTTATGTTATTTTTAATTATTGAAAGATGAAGAGGAATTTGTCCATTTTTATTAATTATATTAATTTCAGCACCATTCAATATAAGAAGTTCTGCTGTTTCGATGCTATTATTTTCTGCAGCAACATGAAGAGCAGTATAGCCATCATTACCTTTTGCATTAATTTCAGCACCATGCAATATAAGAAGTTTAGACGTTTCGATGCTATTATTTTCTGCAGCAATATGAAGAGCAGTATGGCCATTACAGCATTTTGTATTAATTTCAGCACCATGCAATATAAGGAGTTTTGCCATATCTTTACTATCTAGCATTGCCGCCAAATGAAGAGGAGTGTATCCTTCAATACTGTTTGCATTAATTTTGGAACCATAAGAGATTAGAAGTTTCCCTATATTTTTACTATTATATGTAGCAGCATAATGAAGAGGAAGCCGTTTGCTGTTATCTTCTGCATTAATATCTGCATTGTGTAAGATAAGAAGTTCAGCAGTTTCCGTACTTTTCTGATATGCTGTTAAATGAAGAGGAGTAGAACCGTCATTATTTTTGGAATTAATTTCTGCACCATGAGATATAAGAAGCTCTGCTGTTTCTTTACCATTTTGATAAGCAGCTGCATGCAGAGCCGTCCAACCATCAACATTTTTTGCATTAATTTCAGCACCATGCAAAATAAATAATTCCGATAAATCAAGGCAATTTTGAAACGCAGCAACATGCAGTGGAGTAGATCGATCATTATTTTTCGCATTAATTTCAGCACCATGCGAAATTAGAAATTTTGCCAAATTAATATTTTTACGAAATGCAACCAGGTGAAGATATGTATTCCCTGCGTTATCTTTGGCATTAATTTCTACACCATTAGAAATAAGAAATTCAATTGCATCTGTATTATTCATATATATTGCAGCCTGAAGAGCAGTTGTTCCTTTTTCATCATGCGCATTTATATCTGCACCACTCCAAAAGAAGTACTGATAAATTGGTGAGAGATCAAGTAATAATGAATGAACAAAGCAACCGTTGATATCTTTTGTTTGATCTAAATATACTATAAGGGCTTGAAAATTATGAAATTTTGTACAACTAGTTAAATTAATTTCTAACTCGAATTCATTAATTAAAAAACTAACAAAGTCAATGTTATGTGAGATAATTGCATATTCCATGCAAGTATCATCCGGATCTTGCTCTTTCAAACATTCATTCATAATATCTGCGTTTCCACCTAAAAACGAGTATTGAAGACATTTCTGTGTGATTTCGGAGTGGAATTTTGTAATTAATATTTTAAAACAATTAACAGATCCATAATAACAACATAGTTCAAGTAATGAATTAGATTCTGACGGATACAAGTCGCTATCAAGAACTTGTTTTGGAATAAATCCTTCCCTTTCAACGAAAAAGATGAATGATTTTATGTCATCATCCACAATTAATCTGTAGATATTATTATTATATTCAAGGAAGTCTAGCGAATAATTTTTGTTTTTTTGAGTTATGATTTGGAAATTAAATTTTTCTGATAATGAAATTCCATGTTCATCAGTCAAATCGGACCACAAAACATAAGAAATATCTTGGATATCTATTTGTGAAAGAATTGGATGATAATCATCATAAATCTTTTTGAAAATTTCTTTGTAAGACTTAAAATATTTCATATTATAAGGTAAAATCCCCCAAATAGTCTTTAAAGTTTGAGTTGGCGACAAAGACTTTGTTTCAATCAACGAATTTTTAATTATGTGATAAATTTTGTTAATTTCGTCTTGATTGTATGTATTTAGTTGATATAATGCATGATACGCATCTTCGTAATCTTTAAACATATTCATTAATTCACTCAGGAATACTTCTGTCATAAAAATGTGAATTCAATAATTTTTTTGTGACTTTTTTTTCTTGATCTCTTATCTAATACGAAGATTATAATAAATTAAACATTTACCAATCTTAATATTTATTTTATAACATTTTATTTTTCTGATCAAACTCAAGCCACATAAATGCGTGAGGAAATGAATATCACGATAATATTAGAGTTGTCAAATTTGAATTATGAATAATGCCATGAGATATATTTATCTCCTTATCTTTGATTGAATCTAATTGACATTTTTTTCTATGTACAGAGAAATTTCTCTGAAAATATAAAGCTAGAAAATTTACAAGCCTCACAAGCTATTATTATTTTATTATTTTGAGTTTAACAACTGTTTCCTTTTTAACTAATCCTTTGTAATCAATAAATACTTTTTTAAATATTAAATTAATTCATGCTCAATTGGATTAAAGTTGGTTTTGTTCCTTGATTAATCACCGCACCATTTGAAATAAGGAGTTTTAGTGTTTCAATGCTATTATGAGTTACAGCAATAAGTAGAGCAGTAAACCCATTATTATCTTCTGCATTAATTTCTGCGTTATGCAAAATCAGAAGTTTTGCGATATCTTTGCTATTATTTCTTGCAGCAATATGAAGTGCCGTCCAGCCATTATTATCTTTTGAATTGATATCTGCTCCATGTAAAATAAGAATTTCTACCATATCTTTGCTGTCAATATAAGCAGCAACATGAAGAGGAGTATAATTATCACTCATTTTAGCATTAATTTTCGCACCATGCGAAATAAGAAGCTTCAAGACATCAATGCTCCTATTAAATACTGCATGATGAAGAGGTGTTGATATTTTGTTATCTTTTGCATTTATTTTGGCATTATATGAAATAAGAAGTTCCGCAAAGTCTTTGTAATTATTTTTTTGCAGCAATATGAAGAGGAGTCATTCCATCATTACTTTTTGCATTAATATCTGCATCATTCAAAATAAGAATTGCTGCTAAATCTTTGTTATTATTAAATGCAGCGGCATAAAGAGAGGTAAATCCATCATTATCTTTCGAATTAATGTTTGCACCATGTGAAATGAGATTTATTAGCAAATCTTTGCTATTTATTTGAATTGCATAATGAAGGGGGAATAATTTCCCAATTATTTTCTCATTAAAATCAGAAACATTTGAAAAATGAGATCTATTATAGGTTTGCAGTTTTTCCATATTGCGTTAGAAAGCGGAGTTAAACCAGAATTATCTTCTGCATAAATATTGGCCCCATGCAAAATAAGAAGTTCTGCAGTTTCTTTGCTATTATTTAATGCAGCAATATGAAGAGGAGTGGATCTATTAATATCATTCGCATTAATTAATGCTCCGTGTGAAACAAGAAGCTCTACTATATCTTTACTTTTGTAAAATTCTGCAGCAGAATGAACAGGAGTAGATTTATCATCATTTTTTGCGTTGACATCTGCCCCATGTGAAATGAGACGTTCTGCAGTTTCTTTGCAATTATTTAATGCAGCAATATGAAGAGGAGTCGATCCATGATTTTCACGTGCATTAATAAATGCACCATGCAAAACAAGAAGTTCAGCTATATCTTTGTTATTCTTCTCAGCAGCAAAGTGAAGCGGGGTATACTCATCATAATTTTTTGCATTAATTTCAGCTCCATGAGAAATAAGTAATTTTGCTACATGATGGCCAAAACAAAAGGCTGCAATATGAAGAGCAGTATTTCCATTTTCATCTTTTGCATTAATTTCTGCACCATTTCTTATAAGAAGTTCAACAATACCATTGCTATTAATTTGCGCAGCCAAATGAATAGGTGCAGTTCCTTGTTTATTTTTTAAATTGACATCTGCACCGTGTGAAATTAGAAATTTTATAGCAGCGATGTTATGGATAGATATTGCAGCTTGGAGTGCAGTTGTTCCAATTTTAGCTTGTACATTAACATCAATACCAACTGAAAGGAAAAATTTATAAATCATTGGAATGTCCAATAATATTGAAGCTATAAAGAAACTGTTGATGTCTTTTGTTTGATCCAAATAAACTAACGGTGCTGGAAAATTATTGAAATATACACAATAGGTCAAATCGATTTTTAATTCGAACTCATTCATCAAAAAACTAATAAAATCGATGTTATGCGCGATAATTGCATATTCCATGCAGCTATCATCTGGATCTTGTTCTTTCAAACATTCGTTCATAATATCTGCGTTTCCACTCAAGAATGAATAGGAAGGACATTTTTCGGTGATATCGCAATGGAATTTTGATAGTAACAACTTAAAACACCGAACAGATCCATGATAACAACATAATTCAAGTAATGAATTAGATTCTGACGGATACAAGTTTTGCATCAAATCCTTCTCTTTCTGTGAAAAAGATGAATGATTCTATGTTATCATCCATAATTACCTTGTAAATAGTATTATCTTCAAGGAAATCTAAAGAGTATTTTTAAGTTTTTTGTTTGATAATTTCGTCATTAAACTTTTCTGATAATAAAATGCCATCTTCATCAGAGATATCAGACCATAAAATATAAGGAAGTACTTCAATATGTATTTGATATAGTTTTGGGTGATATTCATCATAAATCTTTTTGAAAATTGCTTTGTAAGACTTAAAATATTTGGTATTATAAGGCAAAACTCTTTCGATAATCATAATAGTTTGAATCGGTGACGATGCTTTCGTTTCAATCAATGAATCTTTGATTTTGCTATAAATCTTGTTAATTTCTTCTTCATTGAAAGTATTCAGTTTATATAATGCATTCCAAGCATCATCCTGATCTTTAAACATTTTCATTAATTCACTAATGATTCTTTCTGTCATAAATATTGAAATAAAACTACAATTTCCATTTTTTTTTCCTCTTTTCATTATATTAGAAAATTATTATCTATATTATTTAAACACCTTTCCAAGCTCGATTTTTAATTTATACAATTTTTCTTTTGATTCAAAAACTCTAAGCATCTTCAAAACATCACTGACTGGGAGGAGGTGGAAATGATAATTATGTAATATGATTGTATATGCTGATAATTGCTGTTGGATAAGCAAAAGCATGAGATTAGGCTTGATTTTTACGTTTTTTAGTGCGAAAAAAGTAAATGTGATGCGAAAATAGGAAAAATGTTTAGATATAATTTATAACATTTAAGATCTTCTTCAGTGCATTTAAGAAAACTGCAGATAATCACAAATCTAATATAATTGGTCGAATAATCCACTGTTATCTATGAGTATATTAAGTGCTGTTTTCCCATCTTTATCATTTGCACTTGTTTCTGCACCAAGCTTTCATAGAAAATCATATATTTTATGATTATCATTTACTACTGCATATTGAAGAGCAGTCTTTTTATATTAATCTTTTACATTTATATTTGCACCATGTGAAATAAGAAGCTCAACTATTTCTGATAAAGTTCCGACAGTGGCACAATGAAGAGCAGTTTGCCTCTCATTATTTATTTCATTAATATTTGCCCCATGTGAGATATAATACTGAATGATTCATTTTTGATCAGTAAGTGTTGCAACATGAAGAGCTGTCATTCCATTTTCCTCTTTTGCATTGATATTTACACCAAGTGAAAGGAAAGATTCACAAAGAGATGACATTCCAAACATTGTTGAATAAACAAAACATTTGTTAATATCATTAGTTTGCGCGAAATAAACTAAAAAAGATTCAAGATTATTATATTTTGGAATACTTGACGGATTTTCAATGAGTCGCCTCAAAAATTGAATTGCATTCAATTTAAAAGAGGCTAAAAATTGAAAATTTTTCAAGTATTTCATCATGTGTCGGAAATTGAATGAAATTCAATTTCCGACACATGATGGGAAAATATTTTAAATCGATCTCTATATTGTATTCATTCATCAAGAATGTGACAAAATCAATGTAGTGTGAAATAATTGCATATTCCATACATTCTTCATCTGATGTTTGATATTTCAATAATTCGCTCATGATTTCTGAATTTCCTCCTAAAAATGATAATCCAATACATTCTTTAGTTATTTCTGAGTTAAATTTAGATCTTAATAACTTGAAACAATCAACTGCTCCATGGTAACAACATAATTCAAGTAGTGAACATCCTTCCATAAAATATAAATTAATATTGCTATCAAGTTTTTATCAAACTTGAAATATATGAATCTTTCTTTGTTATATGGCAAGAGTTAAATATGACTTCGCATAGCGGCTATTAAACTGGATGATTCCTAAAATATGTACCATGGTATTTATTGGAAGATGTTTCTTTGAATCAATCAATTCTGTTTTAATCTTTTTGTAAATTGAGATTAATTCTTCTTCATTTTCCGTTTTTAGCAGATACAATGCATTATATGAATCAATGTAGTATTTGCAGATGCTTCGCAATTCATTGTACTTACTCTGATGAATGACATGTTCAGACTTTTTTTTAATTTTATACCGATTACATATCTTTGGGTTTCAATAGTGATAAATATCTCAGAACTTTTGAATACTTTGAGGAGGAACTTACATAGATTAAATAATTGTATGTTTGTGGCATCAGAATTTCGTATATTAAAGTCAGATGGACACAAGTATACTATTAAGAGTATTAATAAAAATAAATAAAAACCACATACATATTCAAACATACAAAAAATTAATTTAATACAAAAATAAAGATTATTACCACCATGAATTCCAATCCGCAGGCATTCTCGAAATATTAGTATCTGATGTTGCACTATCAATAAGCTTCAATACCAGTTCTTGTGAATCATTTTCGTCGGACAGTCTTTTAGCCACGAAATCCAATGCATTTTCTGGATTCGATGTCCAGTTTAATTTTTCATCTCTTATACTTGGTTCAAGTGTACAAACAATGAAGTCCTTTGATTCTCTCACGATATCCATTGCATCATTCATTTCTCTTTCCAAAACACCATTAACACCTGCAACATCCAATGCATTAGCCATTATCCTTGTCAATCTAAACGGAACAATTTGTTTCTTGACAAAACATGGATAATATTTCGTGTTGTAAACTTTGGAAGTATTTAATTCCATCATTATATTCGTCAACTTTCTGTCGCCAACACCGAAAATATATCCAGTAACAGCTTTAACAGACAAACTTCCAATGTACATCGATCTTCTCTCCATCCATCCTTGATAAGAGACACTTCCTCTTACAATAACTGCTTCCAAATCATCACCTCTCGTTGAACTCAGTGATTGTTTGTAAGCTTTCATTTTATCTTCTGCAGACAAATCATCGTAATCATTTAATATCCATGTGCGTTCATCAACACAAACACTTTGACGTCTTCTTCTTTGTTTTATTGCTTCCTCGAGAGAGAAACATGGTGAGCTTTTCTCCAAAGAAATGTTTTCCGTCAAAGGAATCGTTTGAACTAAAGGAGGAACTAAATTTGGTTTCTGGTAACTTTTGATGATTTTTGAAATCATTCTCATCAAAATAAAAGATCTTTCGTCAATAAAAGCATTACTTCTATTGCGAATCGTGAAAGAAGAAGTCTTTCCTGAATCCAAAATCGCTTTAACTGTTTTAGAATAGTTTTCTTGAGCGATAATCGAAGCAAATCTTCCAATCTGTGTTTCGCTGAAAGGAAGAATAATTTTCTGGAAATATTTCTTTTCTTCAACATCAGAAATATCTGATAGAGAATATTCTTTCGGCAAAACAAGTTTTCCAAGAAAAGATTTATGGATACTCAAACAATTTTCAAGTTCTTTCTTTTGCAATGTTGAAGAATACTCTGCCATACATTTCTTGCAATCATTTAACTCAGGATTTAAAGTGTACATTTGTTTGACAACTCCTGTATTCTTTTCTTCATTGTAAAGGGAAATTAATTCACTTGGATCTTTGCTTTCAAGGAATTTCTGTGATAAAATAGCAATCTTCTCATGATAACTAGTACTGATCTTGATCATTTCTTGGCAGAAATCTAAAATATTAACAATACTTTGGTCTAAACTTAAAAATTCATCGTAAATGTCACGTTTTTCATTTTTAAGGATTTTGTAGACCAAACTAAAGACTGTTTTAGATGGATAAGCCTTGAAGTACTTATAAAGAAGTGATTTGAACACTCCTTTATCACAATTCGAGATGATTTGAGGCAAAAAGTCAGATAATTGTGATGCAGGTATCATTTCTATTCTTGATTGCACAATATTCTCTATTTCTGGGATGTTTCTGGATAGAACAGCCATGATAAAGTGCAATCCATCGAATTTGATGAAAGTTGGGATAATTTCAATTATCAAATTTGGATCTTTTTTGGTTTCATAGATTTTGAAGGTTGCTTTGGCCCAATCCAAGGTGTTTCTTGGTAGATACTTGATGGATTTCTCATAGTTATGTTCCATGAAGAATCTTTTTCCTAAATCATGTCTCCAAACGTTGTCATCACCAGTTGCGTACTTGTTATTGATGACAACTTGTTCGAATTCATCAACAGATTTGTTCAAAAGGCTATCAACCAAGTTGAATCTGTTGAGATCTAAAACTTTGAGTCTTCTAAAGGCCATGTCGACCAATTCTCCAGCACTCTTGTCATCGTGGTACTTCCTGAGGAATTTGACAAATCCATCCGCTGTTTTTTCGCTTGGAGAAACACTTCTTCTTATAATAATCGTCAAAAATAGTGACGCAGGATCCAAACTGTCAAATTTTTCATCCCACATTTCAAATAATCTCTGAATTTTATCTTGGATTTTGAGTTTCTCATTTGGTGTTGAGTTTATCATTGATGTTCTCAACTCCAGTATTCTTGCCGCGTCTTCAAGATCAACAAGCATCGATGCAGAACTCAATTCATTTGTTATAGAACTGTAATCGAAATCAGTATTCGACAAAATATGAGGAAAAACATTTTCTCTTATTTTCTGGATTAAATTTTGCGCTTGTTGACATTCTCCATCGAGAATTGCCAATACACACTTATGGAAATCATTCTGGGCAAGTTCCCTGAACTCACTGGAACAGTTAAACAAACTTATATCTGCTGCTTTTTCTCCTTTTATGTTGAGAGATTCAAGTGTTTCAAATTTATTCAATTTTTCTAAACACAAAATTTGTTTTTCTCTGTTGTTCTCGAGACTGTAAAGTTCATAAGCTTTTTCCCAATTACAAACGAGTTCTGCTTCTTCAGCTGTTTCGCATTTCGCCAATTTCCGAGCCAAATAACTCTTTCCTAACATCAAATTAATTTTGATTAATCTCGAAATATCGGAATTATTCGTTTTATTTTTAGGATAATTCTCGGAATTCGATCTTTTCTTTGAATAGATATCGAAGATTCCTGATCCATTGCTTCTGTTCTTCCTTTCTATATTGAATAAATCAGTGCTCGATGCGAAAAGATCTTGATTTTGTGATTTTTCTGATAAAGAATCGAATGTTTCTGAATTTGACCGTTTCATCGATCCCAAATCAAATAATTCACTAGAGGAGTTCTGTGTCTTGGATAAGAAAATATCAGATTTTTCACTTTTATCAGATTTTGGCTCAAAATTGTCACCTTTTTGAGAATTGTCAATTTTTGACAAGAAAATGTCAGAATTTTCTTTTTTCTGTTTCTTTTCTAAACTGAAAAGATCGAATTTCGATTTATCCTTGATACTTTGAGAGTTTGATCTTTGGTTTCCTTTATTATTATCCGGGTTTAATTTATAGTTATTTTCGAAACATCTCAACGCCAAAGAAAGATTTCCAGTTATCATTGCTTTTTCTCCAATAATTGTTTCACTGACTCTGATGTCTATGTTGTGCAGCATCAGGATTTCGACACTGGAGAGGAACAATGAGATTATGTAGTTCGGAATGTTGTCACTAGTAAGTGCGACCTTCAAAACATTGTGCAAAGGACTTGGATCTTGTGATTCTGAAATACAAAGTGAAAAAGAAACAGGGAAAAGTGCTGACCTCACTTTATGGTCTCTTTCACAGATTGTGTAGCACGCGGAGATTGCTTTTGAAGGGGACTTCAAGATAATCATATTCATGAAGTTGTTGAACCATTTGTTCCACTGCAAAGCGTCCCAAGTATTCATAGGAACTTCGAAATCAGGAATTAAATATTGGAAACTTGAAAATGGTTGTTCTGGAAAGTCCTGGAACATATGTGATAATTGTGGTGTCTTGTATTTAAGACTTAAATTGTCTGGTATGTCTACATGAGTGGAAACACATTCGATAATTTTCCAAAAAGTGTCATAATTTTTGAGATCATAAAATTGTAAAATTTCAGGGATGAAAATTTCGAAATCGTATTTCATGTGGACAACTAAGACACTCAAGATTTCAATGACTTGTGGGATGAGTTCTGCATTTTCTTTAGTGATCATAATCATCATTTGATATATTCTCACATAGAATTTTTCGATTGGCAAACCCTTTAAAATGTCTGCAAATTTTTCTAAAACATAAGCTTCAGTTTCTGTTTCGTGAATATGTCCTTCTATCCATGGAATAACATTGGACATAATCATGGTATCTACCTTAGCTGCAAGCTTTCCGAAACATGCTATAGCGACAAAGATATTCTCACTTTCTTTTCCATTTTTGGCAGTTGATAATTCTGGAACAAAAAGTGACAAAATTTTTGTTGCAAAAGGTGACACTGCGTCAGGTAATTTATAAGCCATCCATTCAATACCTGTTAGTAATATTGCTGTGTCTATTTTACCCCAGTTATCGAAGATCATGTTGATGATATCTGGTATAAAAATTTCACTTTTTTTGTCAAAAATTCTTATCAAAGTTGGAACGTTGTTCAAAATTATTGACGTGGTCGATGTCAATTTTGAACGGATTACGAAACAAATCGTTTCAAGAATTTCATCATGTATAACTATAGGTATTGTTCTAAACTTCTTAAGTATAATTAATAATGTTTCAAGAGCCAAACCTTGTAAACAAGAGAAATCTTCACTTGCCAAAATATCAGTAACAGAAGAAACAGCGAAAGAAGCTGCGTAAACAGGTAAATTACTCAATCCATCCAAAGGAGCAATTGTATTATTTGACAATCTCTTGATTGGTCTTGTGAATAATGATCTAACAGCCAAAGGAGTGATTACTCCAATTCTACTAAAAACTTCTAAAATTTGTGTTCTTATTTTCTCAGAATCCGTACTTGAAAACAAGTCAATTAAGTTATTGACTAAGATTTCGCGAGTTGATCTTAGTTGTATACGGAAACTCTGTGAACTCAAAAGAACAGTGAAAAGTTTCAAAGCGGAAGAAACTTTTCTATTCGATGAATTCCTGTTTAATGACTTCAAAAGAATCGGTTCCAGTTTTGGAATGATGTTTTCGAAGTCCAAATCATTGACTAATATCGAAATCAGTTCAATCGATGACGCTGTTTGTCTCTCGCATTTTAACAAATATTCTATGATTATGTTTGTAAATGGTCGGACATAAATGAAGTGATTTCTTGCCAAAATCAACAAACAAGTCACGTAATGAGTTTCAAGAGTTGTTGATCTATTCAACCTATTGATGATATCACATGTAAACTCCATCATGAAATGAGAAGCCTCTGAAATTTCACATAAAAGTGTCAATGCTTTGTAAACAATTTCAGTTTGTCTGTCAGATAACAAAGAATGAAGAGGAGTTATCATATCTGTTTGTGTTGACTGGACAACTATTTTGTTGATGGCTTCTGCACGGAGTTCTGGTATCATTTCGATTGATACGAAAGCAACTAATCTATAAACAGCGGAAGGAAAACAACTTTGTTGTCTAATCAAAAAATTGGCGCATTTCTCACGAACTTGAGGACTTGGATGGCGAAGAGCAAGTGCGTATTGGTCAATCATCTGATTGCTCATCTCATCATCACGAAATGTGAATATGCTCATGATAGAAAATGCTCTGGAAAGTTTGTCACTGTCACTTTTTGTTAAAACAACATTATTTAACTCTCGCATGACGTAAGAGCGGAATTGGTGGGCTGAGTCCGGCCATCTCCTTATGAAGGCGCGCATTCCTCGGGCAAGGAATGTATTGATGGGCAATTGGAAGAGATCTGACATCTTGTCGTAGAAATAATCTGATTGTGGATCGACAAAAGAGAGAAATGCGTAAGCTGCTTCTCTACTGTCTATTTGGATGGATTCTATGAGTGTATTAACAATGATTTGATGGCTTTCTATGATGAATTTAGAGAGTTGGAAACCGAAATTTCCAACTGCTTTGTAAATTAGAACTTTTTTGGTGGGTTGCTGAGCCAAAAAGTCATTAAACATCTCCAATATATGCTGTACATCAGATGTTGTGAAAATAGATGGCCTGCATTTGTAAATAAATGGAATTAATAATAATGATGAAGGTTCGTTAGGGTTTAGCTTCTCAATCATTGTCTGTGAGAACTGCATAATCGAGCAACAATCAACTGTATGATCAAATACCGAAATAATTGATTCAACAACGAGAGGATTGTAATCATATTCGATTAATTCGCGAAAACGATCAAAAAGACGGCGAATTGGACCATCTGATGACTGACCAAGTATTCCGAGAGCAGATTTAAGAACTGTAATCGCTTGATTTCGAATATTGACATCTTGATCTTGAATTGAGTGGATTAAAAGGTTCTGAAAGCTGTTAAATGCAGGTATGAGAAGGACATAAAACCTTCTGAAGAAAATATTCAGCAAGGATAATGATGAAACTACTGAATTTGGATCTCCAGAAAAATACCATTTCCATATTGTATCACGTAAAGGATGTAATGTTAAATGCATCGATGTACCTAAGGGATTTGTCAGCCAAACAAGGATTTTTTCTAGTAAAGTCCAGACAACTGGATTTAAATCTGGCTGAATTGCTATGATATCTTTCGAAATGTTCATCGCTTTATTTTTCTTTTCGCCTAAATCTGTTGTTATTAATGAATTCATAAGAAGTAAGTAGTTTTTGTTGTTTTTTTGCAAGCTATCATATGAAAGTAAGGAGAATAGTGAATTTAAGTAGTAGCCTTCAGAGTTTGTATTAGCAGCAACTTTATATTGAGCTGAAACACAGTTCTGAAATGCACTTATTGATGAAATTGATTGTTGACTCTGCAAATCATCGGAATTTTCAATTACATCTTTAATACATTGTTGTAATTGTGCAAGATTTGCAGATTTAATTGATGTTTTATTCACAATTTGGTAAGGGAATACATCCCCTCCTTGCATTAAAACAACAATGAAGCAATTTTCAATGAATGCAACATACATCCTTTAATAGTATCAGTCTTTAATAACATTAATTTGAATTAGATTGAAATTAGAGAATAAATTATGAAATAAATTTAATGATATAATAAAAGATAGTTTACTTCAAATAAAATAACTATATGTGCAATATGATGATCTGTATTAAAGAGTTTCAGCTTGATCTTTGAAAAATTATTAAGGATGAAAAATTTGATGAAGTTACATCTGATATATCTTAGAAACAAAAAGCATAACAACTAATGGTTATCACTATAAATGAATCTAACTATATTCATAATATTTAAATATTTTTATCAAATTATCAAAAAGAAATCAACAAATAAAGAAAAACAAAAAGAGAAAGAGAAAAGTAAAGGATAAGAAGAATCAAAAAGAAGAATGAAATGTAAATTTCATATTTGACGACTTTTTGCGGCCATTGGCTGAAGGAAGCGATGTATCCTTGGGGATAGCGAAGGTCCTACTTTTTTCATCATATTTTTTATTTTTAAACTTCTTTATCCAGAATATTAATTTATCAAACAGGAGCAACCATCTTAGGTATTATTTTGGCTTATTCACAGTGAATGTATCAATTTGAACAATAGTTGGCTGCAATGAAATTCCTTGTTGGAGTATCGTTGTAAATCTCATGTCTGGCAAAGGTTCAGTAGTGGCTATAATGGATAGATTTTTCATGCTAAATATATGGGCTAAATCTTTTGCTGATGTATTAAGAGAAAGGATTGGAATTGATTTTCTCGAGGCAACGGAAAGAAGAGGTTGAATTGCATTATCAAAATTTTCGCTTTTTGGTATGATAATACATTTGATTTCTAACTTTAATGATGATTTTAAGACAGAATTAATTCCAAAAATTACTTTATGTTGTTTTGCCATATTTTTGATATCATTTATTATTATATTTTCATCAAAGTTGTTTGGCTCTGGCATTTTGAGAGCTGAAGCTGTTTGTAATATTTGTTTTTGCTGTTTTTTTACTTTGTTCATTTTTTGAAAAGTGACTTTTTTCGTCAAAATTCGACTTTACAAAAAGAAATTACATGGCATTTTTTTACATTAAAAAATGAGAACCCTAACATTTTTCACTAAAACTCCTATATTTTCAATTTTAATCCTATATGTAGTCTTAAAACATATGTGATAACATGATCAAAATCGGATTGACCCCAATTGAGATTTCTGATCATGAAATTATTACGATCAATTTCAAAATAACCGATAATAACTTTTTAATGAGAATGGATACTAGTTCCCTGTTGTCAAGAGAGCACAATAAATTATGTATCTGTCAATCTGAAAAATTGACATAACCTCTTTTTATATATTTAATAGCATATGAAACAAATATCTTTTTTATCACTTAAGTGAAGTAAAGGTTTGAAAGTAATTGATCTGTTATCTGACAAATTTTTTTCGTAAATATTGCTTCTTCAAATGATAAACTCTAATTGTGATGAAAAATGTCTGATAGAATTTCTATTCGATTACTTTACATATTCACAAATTTGAATGATATAAAATGCAATTGTCAGTTTGACAATTTTGAATTCATTTTCATTTCGATGTTTTGCCTTCTTGCTTTGGCCGAAGCTAAGAGACGATCATATCCATACCCATACCCACATGAGATCCGCCAGCCATACCAGCGCCCACGCCCAATCGAGCGCAGGCACAGACACCATAGAGCTGAATCCAATGCTGATGGCCTTCCATTCTCATCAAGATTAGTCTGCCTTAGAAAGCCAGCTATTTACTTATACCCAACAAAGGAAATGAACCTTACAGTTTCCGTCAATTTGAAGCAGAATCAGTTCACAGCCGTTGTTCCAGAATTCACAGCCGAGAACTACTGGAATGTTACAGCCAAGCCAAACGGTGAACTCATCTACAAGAACAAGGTTATCCCATACCTCTTCTGGGAAGCCCTCTCTGGCATGAAGATGAACTTCAAGTCCGGCTTCTATGTCAAGAAGGGAGAAGCACGCCAGTTCCTTGAGAAGACATTAACTCAGATCAAGCTCAACGATCGCGAGAAGTTCGATTTCATGACATACTGGCTCCCAACATTCAACAAACTCGGCGATGTTTTCTGCTCATTCCAGTTGGATAACTACTGCCACAGTGCTCCACTCGGCATCTCTGTTAAGCCAGATTCACTCATCCGTGTCTTCCTTGCTATCCGTAAGGCTCAGCCAGGCGACAATTTGAAGCCAGTTCAGCAGCTTCCAAACGCCGTTCGCAAAGGTTTCACAATTGTCGAATGGGGTGGTGCCGTTGTCAATGGCTGTAGCCGCAGAGTTTCCCGCCTTCAGTAAGTTGGAATTAAAATAGCGATTTTAATCCAGCAATTTTTTAACTTTCTTGCTGGCCATTTATAATATCATACTAAATAATGATATTTCATAATCATTGAAACTATTTTTCCTTTGGATTTCAATTGATCGGATCTGCAATTTGAAGCTAACATTCTTTATAATTAAAAGAGATAATATAGATTATGGATAAAAAACCGAAATGGTAATGTTGTGCTGTGAAAATGTTAAAATAAGAGTTTTTTGATAATTCCAATTATAGCCAGGTATCTCTTAACAAACCTTAAAGCAACCATTATAGATTATGAATGGTAATGCAAAATCGCGAAAACTTTAAATGAAAAGTGATTTTTTTCATCTCAAAAGTATTTCTCATTTTATGCATTAATCAACGCTGAATTGCAATTACTAATCCCTAGAAAATGCTGTACTAGCTGTATTTATGAATTTACCAATAGTGAATTTTATATTTGAAATAAAAATGAATGAAATGATCACAAATTAATGGCATGATATTTTTACTATACAAGGTTACAAAAAAGACACAATATGCAAGCAAATAAAATACGAATTTTATAAAATTATCTTGATTTTCAAAAACAGTCTAAATCAAGACTATGAATGCTTCAGTGCATGAAATCATACGCACAAAAGACAATAACTAAGCATAAATCGAATAATTATTTCGGATTTTTTTCTTTTAATTCAAGAAAGGACAAATTTCTTTAATAAGTCCATTGCCATCAACAGTATTCGTTGCTCCAATAATGAACTGAACCTTGTCATTGAACACGCTATGGCTAATATTCTTCAAAAATGCGACTTCTCCAAGAGAAACACCTCCTGTGAAGAAGACAAGGATTCTCATTTGGTCTGTTGTTAATTCTGGCTTCTCTCCAGTGATTGTCATCTTGATGTGAGGAAGAGATTCAGGAAATAGTGATTGAACTTCTTTAATTTCGTTATCGGCAAGCATTTTAGCAAGACTTACTGATATAGGGAAGTACATATACATTGCTTGTTGAATATCAGAGTTCGAATCCTTATTTATCAAATTTAATTTTGTCAATATTGAAGAAAAGTCCCAACCAAATGGCTCTGAAGATATTAATTTAAGTATATCTAAATTCATAAGGCCTTCGAGAGCTTTCTGGCCAAATTCACCCAAAATTTCTTTTTGAATTGAGTTGTAAATCTTTGTAACGCCCTTTTTATAGCCAATCAGCTGGTAAATAATGAGTAATCTCAAAGCCGTTTGCCAATCTCCAAAATTGGCCAGAAGTTTTTCGATATAATTCAAAGTATCTCTTTCTCTTAACATCATACCAAATGGGATGCGGCTACTGCAATTGTATATCCTGAAATCCATCAAATTTATCAATCCTGCAAAGAGTTTAACGTGTAAATCTAATTTTTGAGATAATTTTTTCTGAAATTCACTGAAAATTTCCTTCTTTTCACTCAAAGTCTTTGCCTTTTTGAATTTCTCTTCTTCTTGTGGTCGAATTCCGTTGATATATATCTCTGCTTCACTTAATGACTTATATCTATAATCTTTGAAGATAACATCATTATCCGTGAGTTTCCTTAAGTCTTTTAAGTCATTTCCGAGTTGAATAATTCCGTAATTTATACCAAAATATTCATTATATAATTGTTCACAGGGTTGAGCAATAGATAAAGGAGTAAGAAGATCTGCGTATCGATCTATGATTAATACTGATGAGATTGCAGGTGCAACAGCCTTTCCAAGTTCAACTTTATCCATCATTCCACACATTAAACGATGAATTCGTTCAGATTGCTGGCCAACCGTAACTACTTGAGGTATTCTTCCGTATATGTATTGGATTTTTGCTAATGCTCTTGCAGAATTATATAAATCTAAAGTATCATGATTGATGAAAATGTTTTTAAAGCAATTAGTCGATGGCATTAAAAAGAAATCATCCTCGATAGGGATAAAATCAGCTGGAAACTCTCCTACATAAACTTGAGATGAATGGAAATTTGAAGCCTCAGAAACTATTTGTAACCTATGATTTTCCATGATGATTTTGCTATGTTCTGTGAATTTTGGAATGACTAATAGCGCTTTTCTTAATCTTGGACAATCTTGAAACTTAGAACAAATCATTTCTAAGTTTTCTGGATCGCCATTTGTGATTGCGATAACTGTGTATGGATTTTCTGCGTTAACGATTGTTGGAAATGTTTTGTATGTGAAAATATCTTCATTATTGAAAAGCTGGAAAAAATAATTTTGCAATTTTGGAGGAGAAGTTACGAACATTTTGCCATCTTTAGCTTTCACAAGCTTTTCTATAAAGGCTTTGAATATTTGAACTGATGATAAACGAAAGGTTTCGAAGTTAAGAAAACTTGTTGATGTCATTTTTATAATATGAACTGGATTCGTACTCATGTAAATTTGAGTTTTTATTTCATTTGGAAAATATAATACTAAATACTCTGCCGTCTAAATTCAGGACGTGAAGATCGAGAATGTAAGTAGTATATATTGCGGGTTTTGTGACTTTTTTTGTAAACGTAAGAATTCATACAATATCGAGTGATTTTGTATCATTTTTTTTAACATATGAAGTAAAAAATGTATGATTCTTACGGTTTTTATTCTTACGTTTTTGAATAAATCAAGATTTAAAAAATTTTCAAAATTGTAAGACATTTACACTAAACCCATACATAATGAAATAAAAAAATTAAAAAAAATAAAAAAATAAACTTTAAAAATTCATGTCTTACATTTTTGAATAATTTATTTTTTAATTTGTATGAAAATGAGTGTCAAAACTAACAACGTTAAAAAATTGGGATTCACAAATGAGGAAATAAAGGATATATTAGAGGAAGCGGGTTATGAGGTTAGTAAATATTATTTAAGAAATTGTCAAAAATTCGCGGAGTTTTTAAATGAGTTTGATTATGATAGAAAAATGAATAAAGATGATGTTATAAATTTCTTATATCCCACATCTGAAGAAGAAAAACCTAAAGAACCTGATGTTTTCCCTGAATATTATGAAGAACGGATTAAAGATGATGAATATGATGAAATTGAAAGACTGGAAAAAATAAGAGATGAAATAGATGAAAAAATTAAGGAATTAAGAGAAGTTGAAAAATATAATGAAATGAAGTAGAGGGTTTAATGAATATCCCAGCTTCAGAATCAGCAGTTCAAAAATCTCATGAAGAAAGATATAAAAATTATGTCTCAGAATCAACAAAAATTTATTAGATGGTGAAATAGATGAAACACTTTCAGAAGAAGGTACAAATTTATTCATAAACATAAGTTACAATTTATTGACGATGGAGATTATCCATGTATATTACTTTCACCTCCTCTTGATTCTGAAAAATTCAAAAAAGCACTGAAAAATGTAACATATGCAACAAATACGATTAAGAAAGAAGACCATGATATTTACACAAATTATTATTTAAATAAATGTACAGGTGTTGATAAAGTTTTTGATTTGTTAGATAAAATATCAAAAGAAACAATTGGTACATATAAAATTTTATGCGATTGTGGTTTCATTATTGAAGATACTAATAATGTTTCATATGAAAGAACAGCACCGAAGGAAGACGAAGTTGAAAGGTCTATACCATTCGTTATTAAGAATATAAAAGATATGAAAACTTATAAACATTATATTTATTCATTTATTTCAGAAAAAATGGAAGCAACCCATAAAACATCATCTCATCATTTTATAGCTATTCATACATTCCTTTTCAAAGTTGTGAAATTAAATAAGACAGGAATTAGATTTAATGTATCAGGGTACGCATTCTTGAGTAAATTAAAATGTATTCGTCACGTCGCAGATGATAAAAATTTATGTGTTCTTAATTCATTTTATGGACTTTAGCCCTGGACTTTAAAAAAAATAAACTTTATTTTTATTTATTTTTTAATTTTTTATTCTTACATAAATGAACAAAAACGGAACAGCTAAAATGAATGATAATCAAATAAGAGCCGAAGGTAGAAGGTTATTTAAACGCTTCTATAACATTCCTGATGGTGTTAATCCTAAAACTCGTAGAAGTTATTTAAATGAAGCCATAGATGCATATGAAGGATTTGACATTTCATCAGAAAGTGAGAGGTTAGCAAGAATGTTAAACGTTAATATTGATTTTTATTATTGTGACCCTCAACCAGAAGACGTAGACATAAATAAGGTAGACTTTCCATTAGTGGAATCAATAATGATAGATCCAGAATTTGAAACAGTAAATATTTTATTAACACAGAGTCCATGTGGAAAACTTCACGCTGACAGAATTACAGACGTTGAAGCACTCACAGGATATAAAGTTTGCCCCTTTTGCAAAGAAGAAGTATATTCTATCCGTGATGACCCAGAAAGGAAAAACCAAAGAAGATTTTTAAAACATTGTGAGAAATGTAAAGAAAATAATGGAAGATTAATTCAAGACGTTCAATTGCAAAACACACAACAACCATATGCACCACATATCACGAAACAGAAGATATATCAATGGCTATTAGCACATAATTTGCAGGAATATTATAAACCAACAAGATATTATATTACTTTTGACTTCGAAACATTAGAGACTAAAGAAGAACTTCAACTTTCTGAATGTGCAACTTTGAACGCTTACTTAAAACCATTTATGGTATCATCAACTGTCAAAATAAAGCCGCAAACGGACTCTTTGAGTCCTGAAGGTCTTTCAGACCGAAGCGGCGAGGTCGTAGACCGTGATAAAACATTTACGAGGAATTTTTGCTTAACATCAAGTGATTCGTTCATCTCTGATTGGATTGAATTTTTATTTTCAACCTGTTCATTAGTTGCTAAATCAAATATTGAACAATATGAAGAATTAATGAAGCCGCAAACGGACCAAACGGCGGGGACTTTGTCCCATACATTAAATGAAAAACAGAAGGAAGCATTTAAAGAACTTCTAGATGAGGAATTCAATAAAGTGAATATCATAGGTTTTAATTCGGGAAAGTTTGATTTAAATTTAATTCTTCGTGATTTAAACACTGCAAAATGGAAAATAAAATCAATGCTGGGTTCTTCTTCTCAATTTAAGCAAATCATTGTAAAGAAAACAAACTGTCCATATGAATTAAGATTTATTGACATCAGAAATTATATAGCGGGTGGAACATTAGACCAATTCACTCAAGATTTCGGAAACAATAAATCACGTGTTAAATCCTTTTTCCCTTATCAATTCATCACATGGGAGAATTACGAAGATGAATTATATAAAGTGGAACCATTCACTCAAGATTCATTTTATTCAGCATTAACTCAAGAAACAATATCCGATTCAGATTATCAAATATATCTCAATGATGCTAAAAATTTTGAGAATAGATTAGAATATTTTATTCATTATTGCAATAAAGACGTTGAAATTATGATTGACCCAATTGATAAAATTATTGAAGAAACATTTGTTTATAAAATTGACATGCTTCATAATCTTTCTTTATCATCGAATGCATCAATGATTCGTTACGCGTTAGCATATAAGAACTTCAATCCTAACGAAACATATCCAGAAGAAGAAAATGTGGAATCAAGTTTTGAATTAACAAAAAAGTATTGGAAATATAAAATTGATTCATATAAGAAACAAGATGAAAAAGCAGAAAGGGATACTAAAAACAATGTTTCAATGGATGACTATCAATACTATCACGATTTAATCCTTTCATCTAAATGCAAAATGTGTGGTAAAGCGTTTACATATGCTAATAAACCAACATTAGATAGAATCGATAATGAAAAACCACATACCAAAGAAAATTGTCAGTTAATGTGTTGTTATTGCAATGTCGTAAAATCAAATAAAGATGAAGATGTTCAACGTTTAAGAATCAATTTAAGAAATTATACATTAAAAAATAATTTACCAATGACTCTAGATTCAGTTGAAGCTTATCACATCCTCCGTAATGGAATTACTGGTGGTTTATCAAATGTTCAACATAGAGTAAATCTTAAAGGAATCACGCACATTAATAAACTTTCATATAATCCAGAAACTAAAACTGTATCAAATGAGGACACTTCCAACATTATGACTCATTTCGTTGGTGTTGACTTTAATTCATTATATCCTTCATCATTTTCATCTAATCCTCATGATTTCATTCAATATACTGACCATAAAATGTATATGCCGGGAAGATTGAATGGTGTTATCATTTGTGATACAGCAACAAAGAAAGCAAAAGCACTGGGAATAATTAAGAAGAAAAATACTTTATTCGTGGCTGAAGTAAAGGGTCACATTGATGAAAAATACATTAATGATTACATAAACTTTTTACCAATAATAAGAAACTTTGATATTATCACAGATGAAAAAACAATTGGTGGTTTTATGTATAATTACATGAAATCAAACAATCTACCAGTTGACCAGAAACAGAGGAAATTAACTCAGTTAGCATCAACACACAACCAATATCAACCATTTTCTTCTTATTATCTTTGGTATCTAATAGACAGATTTCATTTTATCATTGATGACATTCAATCAATTTTAACATTTACGAAAAAACTTGTTTTAATGAATTTGCGAACAATTTATGAACGAAAGACAAAAGGCTGAATTAGAAGGAAATAAAGGAAAAAGTTTATTTTGCAAGATTTCACTTAATGGATCATATGGTTACGATGCAATGAATACACAAAATTACGCAAAGACTAAAATAATGAATGCACAGAAGGCACGCGTTGCATGTATGTCAAATAAGTTTAAAAACATAAGAGAAATAGGAGAGGATACGTATCAAGTGATGCTTAAAGATAGATTTTATAGATGTGATACATGTTTACAAGAGGCATTCTTCACTTTAGATAACGCAAAATACTGGTATTTGGTTTTCATTTATGATTTTATGTATAAATGCATGGATGTTAATCGTTTTCATTTCATTGAAGGTGATACTGATTCATCTTATTGGGCAATCGCTGGCGACCCAAATCTTCCTAACACTCAAGCATTTCAAGCAATTGTAACCGATAAAAAATTTTATGATAAAAACATTTACAAATTCGCACCTTTTGATTTCTTCTGTTTTAATGAGAAATTTAAACCTAAATTAAAGAATAAAGCTGAAGAAAAAGCACATGAGAAGAAGTTATTGGGTTTAGCAATTGAGAAACAAGGTGATAACATGGTTGCTTTATGTCCTAAGTGTTATACTTCATTCAACGGTTCAATTGATGGAAGTGATTTTAAAAAGATTGCACAAAAAATGAAAGGAGTTAGTTTACGACAAAATAAACAATTAACACCTAAAAATTATTTGGATATAATAAATGATAAAGTGATATTTGATGGTCAGAATATTAATTTACAACTTAAAAACGGGTCAATGACTCGCTTAACAATCGGTAAGACTGCATTAACAGGAGCACACACTAAGGCTGTATGTTGTGAAAATGGATGTTGTATGCCATTTATTTAATAAAATGCCACAGAAGAGACAAAAGGAACCGTAAATAATGGTTTTGATACTATGATTCAAAGAGGCGGGCACCCTTAAAACATTATTTTATTTTTATATAAATGAATAGCGTAGATTTAAAAAATTTAATTGATGATTTAGTACTTAATCAAAATTTTCTTAATTATTATGAATTAAAATCATATCTCCAAAAACATGATAACAATATAACGGGTGATGATATGGATTATTATTATTCGTATTATAAAAATGAAGTTTTGAAATATCATGATAAAATAATTTCTAAAATTAAAGACAAAATTAAAAATAATGAATATTCAAAGGGAAAAAGTAAATCACAACTTAAACAATTGAAAGATTTCAAAAATAAAGTATTAACAGAAGAAGATATTGATGAATTATATAAATTATATAAATTATATAATCCTGAGCCGCAAAAACCAAAGGAACAAAAACAAAAGGTGCAAAACGCCCAGGTCCTTCAGACCATAAATGAAGCACAAGCTTTAATTTATGATTCATTAGTTAAACCATATTCAGCCCGACTTTTAAATGAAGATCAACTTTTGGAATTCATCCTTCAACATAAACTCGAAGCGGGAAAGTATATCAAACCTTTATATACAGCATATTTAAAACAAATGAATAGAATACATCCAGAATTAATGAAGGGGGGAATGAAATCCAAAATCAAAGCAGATAAAATTAAACCACCTGCAACACCAAACCTCCAACGACAGTACCTCCTCCTCTTCAGTTAATCCTTCATCATTCACTTTATTATATCCATTTCAAACATTAAAGAAGCAAAAAGATTTTAAAAAGGATTTCAAAATATTAAATAAACCAACTGACCCAAAAATTCAACCGTTAAAGGAAAAATTTAGTCGCCCTTCATTTGCACCATATCCATATTCATACGAAATCGATCATTTAGAATATTCAAGAGGAAACGTTACTTATTTATTTGCCATTAACATTAACACCAGATATTTATATTGCATTCCGGTGAAAGGGAAAACAGAACAGGAAACAAGAAGAGCTATTCAATACTTACTAGATCATGAAAGAGTAGATAATATAAGGGGTGATGGTGATAAAGGATTTCAGGCAGCTATGGCTCATTATTTCCCACAAATTAATTTTTACTTTTCATCCTCTCCATATACGTTTCATAATAAAATAGTTGATGCGGTAATGAGAACTCTTAGAGATGCGTTAGGGGTTAATGGTCAGATATACTGGGATGGAAATCATGACTCCATCATACAGCAGTTAGTATATTATTACAATAATACATGGCATAGAACAATAAACATGAAACCGGTGGAAATGAAAAATGATATTTCAAAAGAATGGGAATATATTAGAAAGCAAATGGAAAGGTTGAATGATGTTAAACGTGAACAAATTAATTCGGGGCTCATGAATTTTAAACAAGGGGATAAAGTTTTGATTCATCTCGATTATGGAAAAACTGATAAATCAATGACAAAAAGAAGACGAAGATTTGACACAATAGCTGAATTTGTTAGATATATTAACGGCAATGCATTAGTTGAAGTTGACAATAAATTAATAGAAATTCCGATTTATTTTATTACTCCATTATATTTAAATAATATTTAATTTTTTTATTTCGTAAGAAATGAGTGACAACGAAGCATCCAAGAGTCCAGACAATGAATATAAAAAGAAACTAAACAGAATTAAATCAAAAATATGTTATTACAAAAAGAAGCCACAATGTGGTGGGGTTGAAAACGATAAAGAGAGGAAAGAAATAATCGAAAAATTAGAAACTTATCGTTCAATCCTTAAACTGAGTGAAGCAAAAATAAAAGAATTTAATAGAATAAATAAATTGATTGGAAGAGATGAATTTAATAAAGATGAATTTTTAAACTCTATCCAAATTTAATTTTTATTCCTCTTCGACAACATCTCTCTTTCCATCATTACTGCATAACCACATTTTCTCAATTTTAGTGGTTTGTTATTTTTAACATGTTCTTGCATCATTTTTATCATTTCCTCCCTTGTTATGATTCGTGGTAAATTTTGAGCTTGTGGGGTATTCATTTATGATAAAAATAAAAATTTGTTATCACTTATTTTATCGTTAATGGTTTTTAGGTTATTCAATAATTAATTATTTTTGAAGAACTGAAGGTGCTACCATGTTACCATGTTGACAACAGCCGCTAAGCGGCGAGACCTGAAGGTCTTGACATTTTGACAACAACACAGGAGGATGGCAGTTATGAATTATTTTTGAAGAACTGAAGGTGCTACCATGTTACCATGTGCTACCAGGTCATTTAACTTCTATGAAAAAATGTGACAACATGACATTTTGACAACAACACAGGAGGATGGCAGTTATGAATTATTTTTGAAGAACTGAAGGTGCTACCATGTTACCATGTGCTACCAGGTCATTTAACTTCTATGAAAAAATGTGACAACATGACATTTTGACAACATTTACGAAAATATGATGCAGTCCAAAAATAAAGTTAGTTTTAAAATTATTTTTATTTTTTTATTCCTATATAAATGACAGCAACAAACAACAGCAACAACTATATCGTTTCTGATGAAAATATCATTGATTCATTAGCTGAGGAATTAGTTGTGGCAGAAACTAAAACCCTCAACGAAAGAATTGGTGAAAACAAGATTGATTTACATAACTACCTCAAACACGATGGAGGAAGAGGAAGGAAAACTGGTATGGCTTTATTAGTAAATAAAATTTCAAATTTAACGATTATAGATGTTGATATCAATAAATCGTACAATGATGAACTTAAAGAAACAGTTAGAAAAGACATTTTATCAAAACTTTCGGATAAAGATATTATCGTTAAAACCGCTTCAGGAGGTCTTCACATTTATTGCAACACTAATTTCTTCTATTCAACCTCGAACAGAATGATTAAATGTTATTCCTGCAATGATTATGATATTGACATAATGACTTCTATGGATGATTCAAAGCGTTCATTAGTGGTTATGGCTGATTCAAGAGTTCGCAAGAATGCAACAGAACCAATCAAAACATACTCATTCATTCGTGGAAGTTATGATTCAACATTAACCAGAACAGTGAATGATATATTAAATGATTTGAATATTAAGGTAAGAGTTGAACAGAAGAATGAAGAAATAAAGACTATCATGAATGAAAACAAAGATGTAAACATTGACGATAAACTTGCCCAGAGCATAGTTGATGGCATCTGTGATTTTGAAGTACATAATGACGGTGGAAACATGAATTTAGAAAAAAAATAACATTATTCACACTGTTTCAAGCTATTAATTCGTTACCTAATCATTTGATTAATGAAGCATACGATAACGTTTATAACTTCTGCAATTTAACTGAAAATGCAAAAAGTAATTTTGAAAAAGCACGTAGTAGATATGCACATTTAATGACTTCTCCATTTGTTTTGGTGAAGATTCTAAAACTATATCAAAAGGAATATTATGATGAATATGTTTTACCTTTATTACGTAAGCCAAAAATAACATTTGATATAAAACTTGATGATTCATTCTTGATAACAGATATTAGACGCAAGGCTGAAAATCATCAGTATAAAAACAGTTCTGAAGTAATTGAGGATTTATCACGTGTAATCCGTTTTGTAGATTGTGGAAATAAATATTTCATTCAGAAAGATTACAACATACACGACAAAATGAATCAAATATCATTTGTTCTTCAATCAAACATGAAAGAGTCACTCAAAATGATTAAATTATTTAAAGAAGAAGGTAAAACAATAACAGCATGGGATGTACTACTAAATCAATTATCCTCATTAACCGTTAAGGGTGTTTGCTTTAAATCTGATTCTCCAGATGTTTTCTCAACGTTTCATGGTTATAAATACAACATTCTTGAAAAGCCTGATTACTCAAAAATTGAGATGTTTATGAATTTCATTAAAGAAGCCATTTGTGATAATAACGATGAAGTGTATAAATACATACTCGGCTGGATTGCATCAATGATTCAACATCCAGGAATCAAGAATGAAACAGCAATTATTTTGAAAGGACTTCAGGGAACAGGTAAAAACAGATTTACTGACATTATTTCTGAACTTCTCGCTGGTTATTCATGTAAAAACATTACTGAAATAAGTGAGTTAACGGGTAATTTCAACTCAGTTGTTGAAAATAAAATGTTTCTTGTACTTAATGAACTCAAGAATGTAGGTGAAGATAGACTCGCAAACTTCAACGCTTTGAAATCAATTATAACGGATAATGAGATTAGAATTAATGAAAAGAATCAACCCAGAAGAACTGCTCAGAATGTTGCAAACTTCATTTTCGTAACTAACAACGTCTACCCTGTCAAAATTGAAGTTGGAGACAGAAGATACGTAGTTTTAAGAGTTAATGGTAAATTCAAGGGTCAATTTGATTACTTCAAGAATTTGATGGATTCATGCACAAAGGAATTTTATGATAATTTACTGACGTATTTTATCAATTACGACCTTTCATCATTTAATGTACGAATCATACCGATGACTGAAGCCAAACAAGATTTAATTGAATTATCATCAAATCCTTTAGATGTATGGATAAATACACATTATGATGAATTGTGTGCAGGTATGACGTGTGAAAATGCTCTATTCTGCAAACCATCAGACATGAAAGACAAAAACTTTCAAATGAGTATTAAGGATAAATGTGATAGGAAACATAGAAGAATAGACGGTAAACAAACATGGTGTTATGTTTTGAAAGAAGAAATGAAAGGATTATATAAACAGGTTGAACCAAACGATAATGAGGATTCATTTACTGACGATGAAATACCTGTAAATGAGCCGCTAACGGACTCTTTGAGTCCTGAAGGTCTTTCAGACCGAAGCGGCGAGACCTGAAGGTCTAGCTTTATAAAGTATGATTGGAATTTATTTTTGCATTAATCCTGCTGTGTTGTCAAAATGTCATGTTGTCACATTTTTTCAGAGAAGTTAAATGACCTGGTAGCACATGGTAGCATGGTAGCACCTTCGGTTATTCAAAAATAATTCATAACTACCTTCCTCCTGAACTGTTGTCAAAATGTCAAGACCTTCAGGTCTCGCCGCTTAGCGGCTGTTGTCAACATGGTAACATGGTAGCACCTTCAGTTCTTCAATAATTAATTAATTATTTTTGAATAACTGGGAAATAAATTTACGTCAAATATGCAATTTATAAAATCTTATGTCGACAGGCTACGTAGCACAGTGGTCTAAGGTGGTGTTATGGAGGGGTCAAGGTCTGTGGTTCGAACCGCGACAGCGCCGTATTTTCTTATTTTCTTTGTTTGTCTTGTTTGTCGTGAATAAAAAGTGTCATAAAAGTGCTCTATCTTCCACGGGAATAAATAAAAAATTTACTTTATTTCTTCTTTATTTCTTCTTTATTTCTTTGTTCCCGTGGAAGAAGGGTTTTGCTGTTTTTTCTCAGCCGAAATCAATGATTTTTTCATTTTTGGAATCCTTAGCGAATGAGGAATCTTTTCTCTCGTGGAAATGATATAATGTTGAGGTGAAGAGGTGAGATCTCGCCTGTTTTTTCACCTGTTTTTATGGTAGTAGTGAAATAAAATTTTGTTATCAGTTATTTTATCATCATTTTATTAACTTCATCTTTAGTTAATAATTTGAATGGATTCACTAATGTTCCACCTTGAGTCCCAACACTTACCCTGGCTAATTGTGAAGAACCTGGGATAAGTACTCCACGAAATGATTTCATTGGTAACATTAATTTAGAAATAGTTGGCTTAATTAATTTTGTCATTTATGATAAAAATAAAATTACATAATTTAAATTTTTTTCTTTCTCATTTTCTCATCCTGTTTTGGTTTCAGCAACTTTTCAAGTTGTTGTCTTGTCAGTAACTTGAATTTTAACTTTGGATCAAATATTGGGTTTCCATCTTTATCTCTTCCAATAACACCATATGGTAGAATCTTCATTTATACTAAAATAAAAATTTAAATTATGTCGTTTGCTCTTTTGGAGCTCCTAAAGTTTGTTTCACAAACATTGAGCGTTCATTGAACTCTATACCATGCGAATACAGTCATAAATGGTGGCATGTAATCTTTACTTTGTCCCGTTGTTTGTGTATATCCTGAAACGCGATGTGTATGGTTTCCTTCTCCCTGAGTGTCACTCCAGTAACAATTTATGGCAAATTTAACATCATCTTTAACATCATATCCTTTACCTTTTGTCATTCCTGACCAATCCCAATATCTATGCTTATGCCAACCTGCTTGAGATGTGCTTAAATCTATGTAGTGACTGTGTGCAGGTAAATTTTCACCTGTAATCGTTTTACTTCCCCCTGTTTCCTTTGAAGAGTTTGCACAATACAAAAACCTGTCGACTATTTGTTCCCATGCACCAACACCAAACATTGCTTGAGGACCTCTCACATCCATAGATGTATAAATAGAACCTACTGGGTTCATTAAATCAAACATATGAGATATTATAGGATTGTCTCTTTTGAACTTAAAATATAGTGTAACTATTTCGGGTTTCTTCTGGTTTGTGTCAGAATATTTTTTATAATATAATCTTATGTTTTCAGGGTATGTAAAATCTTGACTATAATATTTATTTTGTCATCTTCATAATAGTATACTATTCTCGTTTTTTCTATTGCATTATATCTTTTATATCTATAATATTCTAAATATAATGTTTGCTTTTTTGGGTCTACATGTGCGTCAACACCATAGTCATAATAATACGGTGCTGGAGCTACGTTAGACAATGTCATATCTGTCATATCTGTCATTTCATAAACTCTTAAATATTTCTTTTGTTCGTCTCCATATAAGTTTAAGTAGCAGTTGTTGTCTAATGGAACTTTAACTTGTGTGCCATTATTCTTTATATAGCCTACATACATTTCATTGTTATTTTTCGGAATGAGTTTATACCGTATACCATTTCTTAAGGACTGTACAAACTCCCATCTAAAATATTTGTTTTTCTTCATTGACAGAAAAGTCGCCAACAATAGTTTCAATATTTTTTGTTCCAACTAAACTTTGGTATATTTCGTTAACAAATGATATATCTGCTTTCTTTGCTAACTCATCGTTAACATATTCCTTATCTGCCTTCTTTGCTAACTCATCGTTAACAAATGATATATCTGCTTTCTTTGCTAACTCATCGTTAACATATTCCTTATCTGCCTTCTTTGCTAACTCATCGTTAACATATTCCTTATCTGCCTTCTTTGCTAACTCATCGTTAACAAATGATATATCTGCTTTCTTTGCTAACTCATCGTTAACATATTCCTTATCTGCTTTCTTTGCTAACTCATCGTTAACAAATGATATATCTGCCTTCTTTGCTAACTCATCGTTAACAAATGATATATCTGCTTTCTTCATTATGTCATTTAGGAAACCTTTTATGAATTCCTCATTTAAATTAAATCTTCCAATCTTTAAAACTTTAGGAAATGCATTTAATGCGTAATATCTTTGTTCTTCTGGTGGAATTGATGTTATATCATCCGTTATACCTTTAATTTTTGAATTCATAAATAAAATTTCTTTTATATTTGATATCACTGCACCACCTTTGCAAACGAATTCAAAATGGTCATTTTTCAATACTATCTCCAAATCTCCATATTTCAACCTTTGCGTTTGTTCTGCCGTCTTTGAATTATATGCATATGTGGCGTATGTAATGGTCTGTGGTTGCTGTTGTTTAATCATTTATTACGATTTAAAAATAAATATTTAATCTGTTATCTCATCAGCTATTTTTTCTATTTGAAATTGCCATAATATTTCATTCATAAATTCTAAATCACAATCAAATAGGTCAGTTACTCTAAATTTAATATTTGATAAATCTTTTGAATGAAGAATAAATGAATTCCCGGATAATTGAAACGGATATGATAAAGAAAATATGTTTAAGTTGATGGATAAAATGTTTTGTATTGATGGGTAAGAGTTAGGGTCTAATGTTTGATGTGAAAATCTCATTGGGGTATTAACTTTATCACATTTGATTAAAATGAAATTAGAACCAGTGTCAGAATACAAAACATCCCCAACATCTTTTTCAAAATTTAATATCCCCAACAATGAACGAAGACGAGGAGTACAAAATTTAATTTTCAGCGGAAATTTAATAAGGTTATTTATTTCATCAAGTTCAAAAAGTTTATCAGGTTTTGATTTAAAATTTTCTTCATACCATACGATAAATGATTCATTTAAATAACTTAAAATCATGTTAATATCCCATTTCGTTATCACATTATTTATATACATATCATACGTTTTTAGGTCTACGACCCCGCCGCTATGCGGCTCATGGTCATCTTTAATAAATGATATATAATCTGAAGGGTTTAAAAGAATGGGATTAAATTTACCACTCACAGAAACGAGAGTAACATTATAAATTCCGCTAACTGTTAAATTTAATTCACAGTTATTATTCGAAATAATATTGATAATTGACATTTTTTTATTACGATTAAAAATATGGTAATCTTATATACGAAAAAAAGAGATCTGACATTGTGTCAGATCTCAGTAAAAGTGACATTTACATGTCAAAAAAATAGAATGAGTTTAAGTAATTAAAATTGAGGGTGAGAGTAGTATTGTATGAAATAATATCTCTCACCCTCCAATTCATCCTATGGCGCCGAAAAAATTTTGGTGAAATGCGACCACATTTCACCAAAATTTCTCGGCGCCATATAGAGAACTAGAGCCTGTGAGGTACTGATACTATCCATGTACCTCGCAGGCTCTAGTTCCAAGCCAAAATGGCTAAAAATTGCCCGCAATTGTTCACATTGCGGGCAATTTTTAGCCATTTTGGCTGGGAATTGGAGGGTGAGAGTAGTATTGTATGAAATAATATCTCTCACCCTCCAATTCATCCTATGGCGCCGAAAAAATTTTGGTGAAATGCGACCACATTTCACCAAAATTTCTCGGCGCCATATAGAGAACTAGAGCCTGTGAGGTACTGATACTATCCATGTACCTCGCAGGCTCTAGTTCCAAGCCAAAATGGCTAAAAATTGCCCGCAATTGTTCACATTGCGGGCAATTTTTAGCCATTTTGGCTGGGAATTGGAGGGTGAGAGTAGTATTGTATGAAATAATATCTCTCACCCTCCAATTCATCCTATGGCGCCGAAAAAATTTTGGTGAAATGCGACCACATTTCACCAAAATTTCTCGGCGCATATAGAGAACTAGAGCCTGTGAGGTACTGATACTATCCATGTACCTCGCAGGCTCTAGTTCCAAGCCAAAATGGCTAAAAATTGCCCGCAATTGTTCACATTGCGGGCAATTTTTAGCCATTTTGGCTGGGAATTGGAGGGTGAGAGTAGTATTGTATGAAATAATATTCTCACCCTCCAATTCATCCTATGGCGCCGAAAAAATTTTGGTGAAATGCGACCACATTTCACCAAAATTTCTCGGCGCCATATAGAGAACTAGAGCCTGTGAGGTACTGATACTATCCATGTACCTCGCAGGCTCTAGTTCCAAGCCAAAATGGCTAAAAATTGCCCGCAATTGTTCACATTCCCATCTTTTGTTGGTAAGACGAAGAATATGAAATAAATTATGAAGAAGATAATGATGAATAAAATATCACTTTTTATATTTTTGACACGTAAAGTTGTCACTTTTCTATCAAACTGTTTTTATCGTTTTCGTATATAACAGTAAAGCGTTATTTTCCAGTGATAAATAAAACTAGAATAAGATTACCTCAAGAATTCATAAATTCAACGAATAAGAAATTCATTCATGTTATAAATTTTAGTGTTTTCAGAAAATATGAGTCGATGTCATATTCATCATCA